AGATAACAGCTATCCTACAAGAGCGTAAGAACAACGCACAAAGACAGCGGCTAGGTACAAAATAAAGCACACAATCCAGGTTTATTCAACCATTTTTAGGGTTCCGTAGTCCTGTCAAGGAAAAGGAACCCTTATAGTTTCGATATGTCTGTCTGTCTGTCCAAGGTTTTGCTTGGAAACTATTAGCACTAGAGAGCTGTAATTTTGGGTAGGTATGTATTATTAATCACGCCGACAAAACGGTAGAATAAAATTAAAAAAAAAAAATAGGTTAGCTCCCCTACATTTGTAATGTGGGGATGGATTTTTTTTTCATCTTCTATCCCATCGTGTGGGGTATCGTTGGATAGGTCTTTTAAAATGGTTCCGGGGTTTCTAAGACTATTTGTCCATTAGGGTATCTGTTTGCAAATTATTCAAGTTTAAAGTGCCAATTTTTGTTTGCGTGCTGGCTTGAAAAATCTGGAATTTGTAATAGGTAATACTGCTTTTCATGAACTTCAGAAAAACTATAACGGTTAAGATACATCAGTTAGTTTAAAAGTAATAGTCATTTGACTCATGTATCATAAAATTTCTTAACCAGTAAAAAATCCTTAGAAGAAAATATGAAAAGTGACTTTAGATGAAGTAATTGATAGCTTCTGAAATATATCAATTATTGTGGTAACGATGAACAACTACGAAACCCTACACTGCGCGTGAAACGACACGCATTTGGCCAATTTTTAAACTGTGATTATGACTTACTCCAAGAAGCACGTATGGTCCATACCCCACATAATAATGAAATACATCATGCAGAACTTTGTCTCTCGTGGCACACTGACCAAAGAAATATTCACTGTGGTGGTGCTCTAAAAATCACACGGGATAGTTTAATATTTTTATATCCTAGGCAAATTCAGCGAGCGCGACAGCAACATAATAATTACGCGCGAGCAATAAGGATGGGTAGCTTGGGGTTATTGGACAAAATTCTACGTGCTCACGGACCAGGCTTTAACTGAGAGGATGGTGAAACGTGATCGTGGCGTGATTAATTTGGATGATTTAAAGTCCGACCAAACCAACGCGTGCAGACCGCGTGCGCGTTAGCGATGGCGATCAGACGTAATCGCGTTGATCGCCATCGCCATCGCGAACCTTTACTACTGTTGAATACGGACGTCATGTCATGACAGGATCACAGACAAACTGATCACGCCAGAAATCGGCCGCGTTGCGCCGCGCTCGCTGTTTGACATGGCTTCACGTAAACAAATACTGGAATTAAAGGTATTCTCGGTCGGTAGTCGACCATTTGGTGTAGAATCCATAGCTCATGACATGAGCTCTTATTATACAACATGCTCCTTTTGTTTTCCGGAAATTTTAGGGGTATATTCTATAAATAAAAACTAGTTAGAGTCTTAGGAATATGTGTTTCTAAAAGCATATTTTTGAAGATATTGTGGATTCTACACCAAATGGTCGACTACCGACCGAGAATACCTTTAATTCCAGTATTTGTTTACGTGAAGCCAGTGAAGCTCAAAGCACAGACAAATTATTCAAATACTAAAGTACATACCTGGTGAATCTTTCATGTTTGTGAAAACAATACTGCCCAGTGCTGTATGAGTTCTGTAACTCTGTATTTGAGGAGCTGTAAGTAATTTCTAAATTAACATGAATTATGTATGTATGACTGTAAAATTAAATGCAATGANAAAAAAATTATAAATGTATTCATCATCCACACGTACTCATCATTTCAGCCATAGGACACAGCCGAGACTGTAAAATTAAATGTAGTTTAAAAAACTCCTCAAAAATATGCGTTTATTGAAATAGTCACCCTTATTTAATTCAAAACGAGTACTTAATAAAGTTATTAAATTTGAAGGTTAAAACTGTCTTCAATACTTTAAGCATAGTAAAAACTTATCTTACCTGTAAATTGTAATAAAATTATTTGCAGGAAAATGCAATTTCTTTCAAAACTCATAATAAGTATCTACTCGTTAACTGCAACGTGCTTTCTTGCAAGTATTAGAAAATACTAACTCGTGATTAAATAATCATTCTGGTGATATTACTGTTTATTTATTTTTATTAAAACAAGTTTATAAACATTCGTATGTTTGCAAACTACATATGTTTATTATGATACTTTCTGCAATTCCGACACATCACCTTGAAATAAAATATTCTTCTGTGTATTTAATAAAATATGTTTTGCTTTAATATTTACTTAGTTATTATCGTCTTCAAGTAGGTCATTCCATGCTTCTATTGTTACAAAGTGGAACCGCCAGGATTCTAGACGTCTGTGTATAAAAGAAGTAGGTAAGTATTAAGCAACAACTAACGTTTATAATTTCGGTTTTAACTCCGTGAACTAATTAATTTGAGAGGTACTTACTACAAGTACCATGTTAACTAATAGGTACATCAATACTTCAGTTAATAAAATGTTGTAGCTTTAAGAGTCGCATCAAAAACTTAATATTAGATAACTTGGAAAAATCGAATTGCCTAAAGTGGGAATCGAATTCCGAACCTTTCGCTTGCCGCACGACAACCATACTAACCACTTCTGGTGACTTCTTTCTAACTGTAACGGGTATTTAAGTATTTGTTATTTCGATGTTTTCCACAAATAGGTACCTTGTTATACTCGTAATATTATAGTAATAAAATGTCTACTGCTCTTTTACTTGTCTCCTTCGTCGGGGTTTATCTATCTTAATATACAGGGTGTTAGGTAAATGGGTATATGAGCCGACACTAGCCCATGTTAACATGGGCATATAAATGGTATGGTGAAATCAGAAAATTAATATCTTCATTTTAATTATTTTAATTTTCATACAAATCGGATTTTATAAAATTTATTTTTGTATGAAAATTAAAGTGATGATATCAAATTTCTAACTTCACCATACCATTTATATGCCCATGTTAACATGGGTTAGTGTCGGCTCATATACCCATTTACCTAATACCCTGTATAAAAACATTTGTATGAAAAAATCTAAACCGCTTAAGATAGATGAAGGGGTACAACGGGATCCACGCGTACGAAGTCGCGGGCGGCCGCTAGTCATTCATGAAAATGTAACTATCTTCATTTCCCACTTCCCACCAGCCGCAGCAATATTTCTGTCCGCACCCACATCCATTTCTGAAATTATTTTTCCAAATAACATTCTGATGGTGCGAAGCAATTATTTCACTCATTTCGGATCTCTCCGTAAAATTGGAGCCGAAAAATTAAATATCGGATGTTTACGTAATATCAGCGAAAAACTTTGCGTATTTACTCTAAAAGCTTTCATATACTGCGGTAGGTATTGACATTACTGACCTATAAACGCAAACTTACTGAATTCGGAATTTATTATAAAAGAAGTTTGTATTTGTTTTTTTAATAATAATATTATTATGTTTATTCTGGCATTGTGGTAAATCTCAGTACCTACGTAGTCAAAAATAATCACTACATAATTATAAAACAAAGTCGCTTTCCTGTTTGTCTGTCCCTATGTATGATTAGATTTTGATGCGATTTTTTCAGTAGATAGTGATGCAAGACGAAGATTAATGTATACTTAGCACCCGTGCGAAGCCGAAGCGAATATTTTCGAAGATTCCATTGTACGTAACGTAGTCTTACACTGACTCCTTGGGTCAGAAGGGTTTTATTTCTAACTTAAATAAAATCGAGTTAACACGTTTGAAGTATTCCAATACTCATCATGGCCCTTCTTTTTGAACATAATTATGTACCTGGCTACCCACCCTGTATAAACATTTTGTTTGAATTGGGGAATTTTCTAACAAAAAGGACACGCTGCGACAATGACAAATAACTGGAAATTAAACTCGTTTTACGGTTGACAAAGCGACCATAATAATTCAAAAAAGGATAAGGTTCACACAAGTTACTATGGTAAAAGAAAAATACTGTCATAATAACATCCAATACGTCAAAATTTTATGACGATACGTCAAACAATTTCCTGAACAATGAAGAAGTTTATAATAATGTTTTATATTTAACTTGTCGCCTAGCTAGTTTATTTGACTCAAAGTGAGTCTCCAAAAATGACGGATAATTTGCCATTGATACCAAGAAAAGGGTTTGTGACACAGTCTTTATTTCACCTCCGCGCGTCGTCTCGGTCATGGTTTAACAAATTTTTGTTTTAACTTTCTGGCTTGAGAATTGCACTGGAAGCTTTCAGCTGGAAGGCATTGATTTTGTACTTACAAATTTTATACGACTTGTTTATAATTTAAACACAATCGATTGGTAATACACGTTCAATCCTTAGCCCTTTGCCACACTGGCGGCTTTTCCAATGTGGTAGCTCACAGCTTCTTAAAAAAATATTACCTTTACTGCCTGTAAATTTTTTGGGGTAAAAAACACGACGAAGAGACGTTGGGAAATAACTAGATAGTATAGATAGGGTAAGCAGACATCATACATTTTTGATAATTGGTAGGTAAGTATTATAAATCCTGACGTAAGATTTAAAAGTACGGAAGTAGCTACTTCTGTTTACATATTCAGTTTGCTTTGCCGTATCTTTTTTGTGCACTGTGGAACGTGCGAGTTAAATTAAAAAACTTTCCGCTGCAAGATAGTTTGCAAGGTTTTAAATATAACACACGCGTACAATCTCGTGAAGAAAATTTTGTTATATTACTGAAACTTTGTTTCTACACTTTATCTACTTAAAGTGTAAATGTTATTTCTCAAGGGACATCAAGTGTGGCATTCAACGACAAAGAGTTTGAACTTAGTGACCCCACGCACATGGCAGCCTGGCTGTAGCAGCCAATACGGTACATAAACATTATTTTCCTACACCGTCATAAATGTTGGACCGGCTAGCAGCCAGGCTGTCTAGTGTAAGGCCTCCCGCCTTATACTTTGAAATATTTATTTTGGAAAATCTACGGGAAGAGATTTTCAAAATAATATTGTTTAAGATTGTTATTTTCAGAGCTGTATGTGCTGATGTCCGACCAGTCCTCCGAGAGGTGTTCCGGGAGCAGGACTACCTCCCTCCGCTTGCGGTCGAGAAGGTTACGAAGCCGCTATCGGATGCGGACGAACCGTTACCAAAGCAAGCGGAATGGGTAAACAATATCATGTGATTTTTAATTTGATTTCATCATTATTGTTAGCTGTGTGTCAATTTTATAGGTGTTACACCAGAAAAGCTATAATTTATTGACTTAGTAAAGCCCGGTCTGTGAGCACGTAGAATTTTGTCCAATGACCCCAAGCTACCCATCCTTATCGCTCGCGTGTAATTATATTGCTGTCGCGACTGTTCGACGGGACGAAATTGGACGGGATTGGACGAAATTCTACGTGCTCACAGACCAGACTATAGTCATAGTCATGAGTAGAAGCTAAGCGACAGCCCATACTGGGCGAGAAATAGCCACAAAACGCGCCGCGCGAGTCTCATATAATATTATTAGCTTGTCGTCGCGACATATCGCGGAGTCGTGTGTGTTTGCGCTGTCGCTACTCGCTAATAAATGTATCGCAACCTCACGCCACAATCACGTACGTAGTCGGCCGTTGAACTTTCAAGACATCCTAGTTTCTACCACAGAATAAGTAATAGTACAGGTACAGAAGGATTACTCCGCAAGACGATTTAAATAAATGCGAGTCTTGCTACGACGCGATACAGTGGAATTCAGCTCGCACAGCACTACGTACCTACAATTTTATTCACCTACAAGTTTTGTCTCTTTCTATCGCGTGCCTCTGAACTCTTCTTACGCTGTTAGGGTTGCGGTCTAGCGACAAAAAAATTAATCTACTTATTTGTAATGAGGTACGTATGTAGGTAAGTATGCATTAATTATGGAAAACCTTGGGAGAGGCCTTTGTCCAGCAGTGGACGTCATTTGGCTGAAACGAACGAACGCATTCTGAGCAGTAGTCATAGTAGGTTAGGTTCCTATACTATCCTAAGAATTATTGATTACCTACATAGCCGACATACCTTTCAGCATCTTTGGGAAGCGAAAAAAAAAGATAAATCCGGTAGATTTCTTTTCGAATTTAAACACCCGAACGCCGCACAATATTTCTTTCTCTTTATGTCCATTTTTAAATAATACTTCGATCATAGAATTATAATCATACTAAAACGCAAGCCAGCGTCCTGACGGGCGAGCGCGTGACACTCGACTGATATAATACCCGCCGGCGGGGCGCTTCGCTGTAGGTAATTATCGGATGTACCACGCGGAGTGAGCCAGACCTGATCAAACATATTATTTCCGTTCCCAATTTGAAACTAGCACAAAACTTGGAGGTAGCAATCCGAAGTCGCGAGGCTCGTAATTCCACAAACTCCCTGGTATTTCAACACTTATCTGGATTAAGTTCGCTTTGTACAATTTCTTTCGCTCCTTTGTCTTTATTCAAGGCTTAAGATCTTCATTCGCTGTGCTAGTAATTCCTAAAGTTTTATTAGATTAAAGGGTTTTGTCATTTTGTGAGTTTCTATTGTGTGACTAAATCAATTCGAGATTCCCAAATGGTGCATTTGGAATTCCTTTAGCGTCAATGGATCCGTTAGCCAATTGATTTTGAACGATAAAGTCCCTTTTCTTCGTGACTCTTTTATAAATTGATTGCTCGATCTCATTTGTTGTGAAATCCATTTGCCGGCTTTTTTGTTTAAGATATTTACGTCCTCCTAAAAATAAAAAAGTTTGAAATCGGATGGCATTATCATAAGGAAATACACTTATCAATCCGGAACCGGATCGTCACCGTATAATCTCGACTCGGTCAGTGTTCTTTATTTGAAACTTTGTATTGTAATGCACTCTCATCCGCACCGTAACGTAAACGCCTAGCCTCGGTTGACAGCGCGGCGAAAGGCGATATGGTTTTGATCCCTTTCCGGGTTGATAAATGTGCTATGACCTTACCCCGTAAAATTTCTGTGTTTATAAATCTTACGCTCTTCAGATCGACAAGTACTCGATCGAGTGCAAAGAGATCTGGAGTCGGGAGTACAAGTTGAAGCAGGACCATGCGAAGCGCGTCACCCGACAGCCGCTGCCGAACATATACAGGCTGTCGTCGCCGACGTCTGACAGCGACGTGTCGTCGTGGAGGCAGCAGCACGGCATGATATGCCGAAGAGACCTGATACCTGCGATAGAACAAGATGCTGGCCGTTAGTATTTTGTAGCTTTAGTGGGAAATGATCAGTTTCTCGTTCGTATCAGCCGAAAGACGTCTACTGCTGGACAAAGGCCTCCCCCAAGGATTTCCACACAGACCGGTCCTGCGCCGCTCGCATCCAGGCACCTCCCACGACCTGAAGATCGTCGGTCCAACTAGTTGGAGGCCTGCCCCACGCTACATCTTCAAGCCCGTGGCCGCCACTCGAGAATTTGTCTGCCCCAACGGCCATCGTCTCTACGAGCTATGTGCCCCGCTCACTGCCACTTGATTTTAGCAATTCTGCGAGCTATGTCGGTCACTTCTGACTGCTTTAGTGGTAATTAATTAATTTCAATTTAGTTAAATTTGATTGATTTGATATCTTGGGAATGTCTGGTACGACAGGAGTCGCTTTAAAAACATTTCAGATAAGAGAGCAATCGTTATTCAGTTTTGTGAATATTCATTACGCATAGATATTTTTATCGTGAAACAAACAATCAACTAACCGATTTGCTCTCGATATAACAACAAATAACCGCCCCGAACTTATCGAAGGAACAAACAAAACAAAAGGGCAAAGCATATAATCGTTTCCATTTAGGGCCATCTGAAAAGGATACTTAATTAATGTGTCCTACATTAAATTTAATGGACAGAAGGGTATTTCAAAGGGATTCCTGATTATAAGGGACGTAACATGAGACAACATTAGTTTGATTGACAGGTTCAAAATATGTCGGTACCTCTGTCACATAAATTCGTGTTTCAGATACCTCGCGTGAATAAACAGTTCCTTCCAGGTAATTTTCTGGAGAGCAAAGTAGAGGTTTTCTATAGAAAAGTACCCAGATTATGAGAAATACTTCTTATATTATTCTTAACTATCATTATAATTTTAAAAATGTCTATTTTATTTTACTTACTCGTACCTACTAGCTCTGCTCCGTGTGCCCGCGACTTCATACGCGTGAAAATAGTTTGAATAATATTTCCCGGTTCTACAACATTGGTGATGATATCGGGTGTTCTTAAAGAGCCTAAAGCCTTCTTCAATAAATTAACTATCCAACACAAAAATATTTTTTCAAATCGGACCAGTAGTCAAACTCTTTAGCTTTATAATATCAGTAAAGATTTAAGGTTCAGTCAAACAAACGCGATCAGTCGGTGTGCAGCGATGGCGATCCGACTTAAATGCATTGATCGCTATCGCTGCATGCAGACTGATCGCGTGTGATTGCGTTGCTTTGGCTGAACCTTTAATACATTTTGCTAGGTGATGGCAGTTTATGGGTGCAGAACATCTTGCACCGCAGCTCGTGCGACTTGAGCTGCATAGAAGTGCGCGGGTCGCGGCTGCACCTGCCGCTGCATTTCCCGCCGCCCGATGAAGGCACCGTCCAGTCCTTGAGGTATAATATGGGGCTAGATATGATCTTGCCGAACCGGCTTTTATAATTTTTGTAAACCTTTTTAGATCTAGATTGCGTTTGTTGCGACTTTTTAAAAATAAAGAGTTGCCTGACACTGGGCAACACCTTGGATAATTAATCTTGGAAAATACTGCGAAATATTTCTTTGTTACGATAATGTTTCAGTCCAATATGATCCTTTAGGAAATTCTATATCTACGCCCAGAATCTTCTTTTATACGCCGTTTGACAAGGCTAATCAAAACAAAACGCTACTTGGCAAGATCTTAACTTCGATAAGTACCAAAGTTCATACCTGTACGGAAATTAACGCCTCGAAAGAAGGCGAGAGAATTTATGTTCACGTAAATGCTCGTATTTGTTACACGGTATATGCCATCTAGTGTCAACGCTAACGAGTCGCTCGGCGTGCAGGACTGCAAACTTGCATGATACATCGCGCTGTCACAGAGGCGCTGAGAAAATAAACGACGCGCCCAAATTTATGACTGGCAATAAGAAGCGCCACTTGGGAACCACTTCCGCAAAATTATACCCTTTCCACAAGAAAATAGAACACTATCTCGTACAATGCATACGTCGAACAGAAGTTCAAAGCGCACGCTACATCATCAGACAATGCAAGATTAATGGTATTGGTGCCATTTCTCGCTTTCAAGTACTCCGTTGTGTGTTGCTAGGATAAGTGTTTGTGAAAAGTTTTTAAAACTTATTTGTTTACCTATCAGGTGCATTTTGCTAATGTATTTAGCTGGATTTATTGAAGTTATCAGGAGTTAAAAGATATCTGTTTTGATCTCAAAAGTGTACTAAGATAACTTTTCCGGCACTAATATGTGGATACTTTATAAAACGATTCTATGAAGTAGGCTACTTAGACGTGTTATAAACTAAGCAACACGATATACCTACTCGAATCCTATGGCCATATTAAATTGCCTTCGTTACATCACGGAGATCTATAACCAATTAACGCGGCCTTATCTTGGAATATTTATTTAGTATTTGGCCGAGGGGCCCATAAGATTGGCAGCATATTGCCACCATTAGCCTCCCTCTAAATAATAGCCATTGGGTGTTTGGCACCATACCATTAAGTGATAAATATCAAGGCACAACGTCTTCGGTGATAAGTCTGCAATTAGTATTATTGCAATTAAGATTTTTGGTCGCTTTGAAACAATAAAAATACCAATTCGTTAGAAAACTTACTGTGACGCTTGCCAAACAGTTTGGGGAGGCTAGACGTTCGCATACTTCTCCTTTCTCCTTAGTCACCTCTTAAGTATCACATCCACGGGCAAAGTGGAGGTGCTCCTGTCCTACTTTTTTTTTATCCACAACGAGGAAGCTCTTGGCCTGTATCTCGCCTGATGGTAAGTGATGATCAGGCCGAAGTTGGAAGCGAGCTTCACCCGGAATCCTCAACCACAGAGGAACTGGCTATCTTACCTCTAACTGCCGGAACACAACAATGCTGTTAACATTGTTGTTATGGCGACAGACTTAGGTAAGATGGTGGTAGCTAGCCAGGTGGACTTGGTTGAATGACATGGCTACATCAAGTTTGCGACGTCTTATTTACTTCAGCATTGAGTAACCAGTAAGAGTAGGCGCACACCGTTGATTTTTCGTCGGCCGATAGTTTAGTCGGGCAGTTGATTAGTATGGGCATGTATGGGAGTGCGCACACTACGCCGATTCAATTTGGCCGATTCTTCATACAAATTAAAATCGAGCACAACTATCGGCCCACTAAAAATCAACGGTGTGCGCCTACTCTAAGGTTTATATTATATGTTGCTGTCGTGCTCGCACACTCACTGCGGGCGCCCGTCGCACAGTCGCGACAGCAATATAATTACGCACGAGCGATAAGGATGGGTGGCTTGGGGTCATTGGACAAAATTCTACGTGCTCACGGACCAGGCTTTAGTTATGTTTATATTCATCCACTCCTTTTCCCTGTAGTATGGGCGAGGTGGTGATCCGGCCGCCGCCGCCGCCGGCGCCCGCGCCGCAGCCGCCGCCGCCGCCGGAATACATCATCTGCGTGCCTCCACAGCTTGACTTCGTTAACTTCACTGTTGGACATTTGCACACGGTATTTATAAATGTTTCTTCTAAATTGCATTCAAAGTAGAGATATGGCTGGGCCTTCAAATTCCATAAAGATAAAATTTTCGATCGGCGATACCTTTATCGGAGTAGCGCTGTGTCAGAGTAAAGTCATTTCGATATTCCATTCGACGGTTCGGTGTCAAAGTAACGTAATGTCGTAGAAACGTTTGTCGGTGTTTAGCCAGCTTGGTAATAAGCATACCTACTTGTTGACTCAATCATGATTATTTGTTTTCCATAATGAAGTTGTCTGATTCCAAAATTTTCATACCTAATTTTCATGCGACATACGAGTACAAACCTGTGTAGTGGTGACAAATGATAAGTTTTACGACACGACTCGGGCGCATACAATGGCCGCACCGCTAAAACCATTTTATTGGCCGAGTAAATAACGACTATTACACATTCTGTCATGCCGAAACTAGCCGCATGCGGTGAAAGCCGAATTCCATGAAAAATTTTCTAGTACAAAATACTGTACCTAAATGCAGAGACACTACTGCAGATATTTTTTCTAAATAAATATTCTATTAATACACCACGCTAAAAATTGGACCGTCACAATTCAGGTAGATCGCTGAAAGTGATTGTCATGTAGGTATACTTAATAGAGAGAGATTTAAATCTATGCGCCAATAGTCCGACGGTTTCGATATCTGACTGCCGACCTAGAGTCGGTAGTTCAATCCCCGTCGAGCCCACTTTTAATACATACATTAAGATATAGTTCCAAAATACTGGACTGTCCTGTCGATGACATTGACAGTGGGGCGCCACCGTCAATACCGGATCGCTGATTTTTGCCATTGCCATGTTGGAAACCATATAATTGAACGATGGTAGCGCCCCCCTGTCATTGAGTTTGGCGGGACAGTTCAGCGTGGGTCATCTATAAAGAATATTATGTCATTAGTTCTCACAAATTAAGTAAGTAATGCGTGAAAAAAGGCTTTCCAAAAACATCTTGAAGCTTGTGTGGTTAAAAACCAGTGTTTTCCCTTTTCCTGCTTCCAGTTTTCATTTTAACTCTTAAGAGCGTTTACGCCGTTTGGCGCAAAAACAGTACTTTTTCAACTCGTTACAATCATTAACCAGTAATACTACAAATACGTTATAGGCATAAATAGTTAGGCAATTTTGTCGTCTAAATAGTTAATTGAGAAAATATTGCGATTAGTTTAGCATTTAAGAATTCTATCAAGATAAGTCCACACAGGTTTTGTAAATTTCCACTTTAGCGTCAGTTTACAAGCTGAAATTTTTATAAAAATACTGTGAAAACGATTTAAAAAACATTTATATCCTATAGCATAGATCCTTGGGCAAATAGTTATCTGAGAAAATTTTAAGATTTAAGCATTTTACAATAAGAAATCACAAATTAAAAGAACGTGAAATACCCAAAAATCAAAGTGATTTTTTCACCAATATTCTTCCTTTATTCAACACAAAAATAGCTTAATATAATAGAAGAATATCTTATCTAAAATATTAACTTTGAAATTTAAAATAATTCATTGTAANCAATGAAGCCATTAAAGCAATAAAGTCTTTTGTAGGAATTATTTCCGATTTAAAAGCTAATTCTACTGGACTAATCTACTTACGAAACGAGATTAGCATAGCCTATGTAATAATCTATTTAATAAAAAAATAAAAATTAAAAAAAGTCAAAATTCATAAAGTTATAGGTGATTAACACACTGTAGGTGTACGGGGCATTTTAATACCCGTAACGCACGTTGAAGTAGTACATTAAAGGGGTGCAATATTCCCCGTGACGCACCAGTTTAGAGACCTTAGTTTTAAGCTCCCGCAGTAAACGTGTTAATACTTCCACCGTTAACATAACTCGGTTAGCAGAGGTCTGTGTAAATCTAGACGGCAATAAAACTTTATCATTCTTACGACGGATGTAATGTCTAATAGGAAACTATAACCTTTTATTACTCCTAGGCTTTATTCTTTTGGTCGCGGGTCATAAAAGAGTAAATACAAATGAGTAGGTCATCTTCATAGAAACGCCCGAGCGCGGTTTGTATGTGAGCGCGCCAATACGTATGCGGCGCGCNNTTTAGCGTTGATTAGCGGTGAGTTGCCCCGAATTTTGTCAGTGTGTGCGTGCGCGCCGCATACGTATCGGCGCGCGCTCACATACAAATCGCGCTCGGTGCGTTTCTAGGAAGATTACCTACTCATTTGTATTTACTCTGGTCATAACGACGCAGCGGTACTTTGGCCCGTATTACTTATTTATTGCGAACGTTGAATTATTAAAATCGATACTACGGAGAACACAAAGGTATTACATATCGTAGCTACAATCAATCAACCTTTAGAGATTGTGAAGTAAAACAAGAAAGAATCCTTATTTTTTCACCAAGGCCGTTCGATTCATCTGTCTCTATGTTAGGACCATTTTTATTTTGAGGTGTGACTGAAAAATGTTGTAACGTGTAACAAAAAGCTTATAATTTCATCAGATTTTCATAAAATTTCCAAGGCATTTTATTTAGGTGCCGACCTATTTTTTGGGTATTAGTATTTTCACTAATTTAATTACTATTTCCGTAATCCCTCTAGTTAAGCTAAATACATGCTTGTGTTAGAAGTCGGTTTACCACAAAGTCCAGCGGACGACGTTACATTTCACGTAAAGGTACAATTACGACGCTAACTGCACACAGTAGCTGCAGCCAGGCCTGTTCATCTCCGCGAATTTACATCGAAAACAAAACACGCACGATGGCCCACCTACAGGATACTATTCGACAAGGCCTCTCACATACGAGTGAACATTGACTCACGCACGCGTATTCTTGTGTATGATGGAAGAAAATAAAGAAAACGGTGTACTAAATACTGTGCAGTATTTAACTGCCTAAATAATAATAAAAACACAGAATGTACTTTTTTAAGTTGCCTCAAGACACTGAGAGGTAAATAAGTAGATAATATTATTCATGAGAATTCATGCTAAATCATGTATTTCCTCCGCCATTTTCCGCAGTTTGGCACCTCACGTCACATCATTTTACCGAAGTCAGCCCTATAGCTTCGGCGCAGTGCCGATCACTGACGTTTGTCAACAAAATGGTGCTTGACTCTTGAGACAGGCTAAATTACACCATATTGTTAATGACATTAAGCATACATTTTTTTAAATACCTTCGCGAAGTAAAACTTCTGTACGTAGTAATATTATTATTCTGTGCTGCAGCTGGCAATGTGTCGTCGCGATATTACTAACATGATTGGTTTACTTAGCTTTTATTGCTAGTGACATGTTTGGGTTCATGAGAATACATTATAACAAATCTGTGTGTCGCGGCAAAGTGTTGCATGGCGCTGCTGCGTGTTTCAAAATTGTAACTGTATTTCGTTGAACGTAAATGAACTAAACTACTTGATATAGCTCGATGAATTTGTAAGGCACAGCAGGGACAGCCATCAAAGTTCTAAGAGTTCATACCGACAAGAACAGCATAGAACGTCCATCTACGAGTTGGATAGACGACCTCATAAAAGTAGCAGGAAAGGGCTGAATGCAGACCGCTATCTACCGACCAATCTGGTAATCACTGGGCCTGTGTTTAGCAGTGGACGACCTGTCATAAGTGCCACTTGTGGTTTAAACTGAATAAATATTTTTGATTTTGATTTTGATTATGTAGCTGAAATGATGATGATGATGATGATATCGTTTCGCAGCAATCCCTCCGCCTCGTCAACGTGTCCAAGTTCGAGATCCGGCTGTCCCTCCGTCCGCCGTCCCGGCGGGAGCTGGACGTGGTTCTGTGCGGGCCGCGCGGGCTGGCCGTGTCGTCGGGCGCGGCAGCTGAGCTGCGCGTGCGTTTCACTCCGCGCGACGTTCGCTCGATGCGCGACGCGCTACTCGTGCGAGTGTCTGTGGGGAAGGATCTGAATGTGCCGATACATTGTTATATGCAGCCGCCGGTGGTCGATGGTGAGTCATGTTAGGCATAAGCTAGTTGCGAAAACCATTTCTTATGGTGATTTCTTATTTCCTTAAAAATGATAACAATTAATTATTGCTTTAATTGTCCTTCTAATTTATATTTTAGCAGCAGAAAAAATTCTTATAAGAATAGTGCGAGTGTGTTGCAATAGGTTAAGACTCAAATACAGAACTATTTCTTAATGTATGAACATGAAAATGGTAGTATTTAAAGCTTTTTGAGTATGAGCTTACACTAAGCTGAGGTTTGCAATTTACTCGTACCAAGTAAAACAGTGAAATAAAACTGCATGTGCTTTCATAGGTATATGAGGCTTTAGAGCTCTCTTAATGCATAAGTTGAACAGCTTTGAAGGCTTTGGAAGCTATGTTATGTATGTAAAAGCAAGGTTTTAAAACTTTAAAATTAATGCAAAAGCAAACAGACCTCATAAGAGTCTTGCTATTTTACACAAAATTACAAATTTGAACGTAACCATCATTTACGAGTTTCATGTAATTTAAAAGTGTTCAAAAGAACGTTCAAAGTAATAACCCAGAACCGATGATTGCAAAACGATTCAGAGCCCGGTCGGCTGTAAAATTAGAAGTTATAGACCGTGATATTTTTAGGCATATAGACTCCGACAATATCGCGTGGGAGGCTTGTTGAATTATATGGCTATTGGTAAAATATAAATATGAGATCTCAATTTCTATAATGTTTAGAAATAGCCAGACGAGTAAACAAATAATACTCGTATACCTATACGTACTATAACTTTAGGCTAAGTTGCTTGTAACATAGTGTACTTAAAATCGCGGCACCTATCCCACTGGGGCATGTATCCTGGAATTACCCTATTTACAGAAATACTGAAATCTAGCCTTTCAAATAATAAAGTTGACTAAATATTAAATAATCCTTTTTTATTGATAAAAAATAAATAATGTTCAGTTTACAGAGATTTATTAATTTGTTTGTATTTTTTTCATTACAATGTTATAATTTATTTTTTGCTACCTGGCAATCACTTTAAAACTTTTTTGCACTATTTCAATGAGGATTTTTATATTGTAATATTTTCTTAAGGCAGCGTTTATACCTACCGAGGTGGAGCTGAGTGGAGTGGCTGCACTCACATTTGAAGTATTTATGCGTCGCAAGTGGTGTGTGGAATAAATGCATGAAAACTCCACTCTGCCCTACCTATCTCCAATTCAATGGAAACACAGACTGATACTTTGCTAATTGATAGGTTCACTAGGTGACCTATTTACTAAGATCTGATTTCAATGGCCCGTTGTTGGGGAACCTTGTTAACTCTTTCGCGAACACAAGTCGTCGTCATTATAGTCGTAAGTAACAATCTCGCTTTTCAAAAACGTATTGTGTTCAGTTTGTTATTGTCAACGCAATGAAAATTTAAATTGGGTGTTGTATTGATGGAATACGTACTTGTTGTTATATTATATTGGAGTTTCAATGTATTTGTCAATCATTTGGCCAATGAAAAAATAACAGAGGTTGTGGATCTCCTACAATCACTAAATCACAGGCCTACTTCCACCACTCACAAGGTGGAAGCAGGGCTGTGAAGGTCCCATGCTGCGTTGCTGGCACGAGGCCTCCATTCCAGAAACTTGCTGCTCCATCGCTACTTCAACTTGCTAATCCGTCGAGCTGTTATGTTAGCTTATCAGTTTGAGATGAATCTTCTTTAAAATTTACATATAAAAGCGAAAAGTCACTGACTGATTCACTCATCACGAAATCTCAGAAACTACAAGTGCTAAGAGTCTCAAATTTAGGGGGTTCCTTTTAGAGCGTAGGTGCTCACTTAGATGGGATTTTGCAAAATTCAACGCCTAAGGGGGTAAAACGGGATACATGAAATGTATAAATACTTGTGTTTTAGTGCTGGTGCCGCACGTCAGCTGGTCGTCTCTCTGGTGCGGCTCGAGCCCCAGCGTGCGCGGCGGCGGCGACGTGCTCGAGCTGGGCGCGCGACTGCTGGGCGACGTGCACTGCGCGCGCCTGCTGCTGCACTGCGACGCGCAGCACGCCGCCTTCTTCGTGCTCACCGAGGACGCCTGGGTCACCTTCTGTCTGGACGTGAGTGTGACGTCACTGCTGGAGCCGGGCGCGTGCTGGGCGACGTGCACTGCGCGCGCCTGCTGCTGCACTGCGACGCGCAGCACGCCGCCTTCTTCGTGCTCACCGAGGACGCCTGGGTCACCTTCTGTCTGGACGTGAGTGTGACGTCACTGCTGTACAAAATAAAAACAGACTAAAAACTTTTCGTTCACACCTTTAAAATACGTATTCAATTTGAATAAAATTTCTTTCACTTGGCTGCTTAATGGATTTCGTACAGGAAATTCACTTACAGTAGGAGCCATGTCACTAATATTTGGAACACAATTACATAAAATTACACGTATCTGCTACCAGTACCGGGGGTGAAGTGAAGTATGTGAGCGACAAGGAAGCGGTGCGTGGCGTACGCGCCGCGCTTCAGGCCGCTTGCTATAATAAACCATGCGCGGGACGCGCCGCGCTTCAAGCCGATTGCCACTCTAAACTATCGGTGTGCACTCACACAAATGCAATTCTCAGCTTAAGTTGAGAGGACTGTATCTGTTGTTAACGCACTCATAGTGCAGCGTCGTGCTAGGGTGATTTATAGTATGTGTAGTATGTAGGCTTTTTCAGTACTTACACACAACCGAAATAAAGCTTGCCAGAATGATCTTTTGCAGGTTTTGAGTTCAAAATATTTCTGTAGTTGCATGCGCCGTGATTTCAGAAAGAAAAATAAAATGCTTATTGCGAGACGAATCCATGTCAACCCTCTTTTAAAGTTTGACCTCCGACCAATATCAGATTTTCGTTTTATAGCTAAGTCATACAATATATTAAAGACGGGAAATTGGTATCAAACAATTTTATGCTAAAATGAATGTAATTTATAGAACGATTAGGTTTACAATCTACTCCCTAATAAAGATAAAAATATACGTTAATTCCAAATTAAATCAGTGCTATGTTGAAACCCATTCTTATCCAATTGTTTCGGCTCTGAAAGGCAAAGAAAAGTAGCTTTGACCGTTTTATAGCTGTTTTAGTGCTCAATCGTTTTGCTTCAAGAAATTTTTATAGTCTTTTTAGGACCGGGGAGAGAGTAATCTTTGTAAAGTTTTCTGAATATTTACAAGAATTAATTCGGATTAAGGAATCTGACTACTTAATTGAATGAAAATGTAGCGAAGAAAAATAGATTTAATTTTAGCTAAGGCCTTAGAAACTTCTACGTACCCAACTCTCGTACTAAAGAATGTAGTAAAGAAAACTCGGTTCTGGTAAAAACTAAATTTTATGAAAATTTGTGAGCATTTATGCCATTAGCCGACCGTTGAACACAACTTTGCAACTTTCCGTATAAAAAGTGTCGTTTTCCGTCCAAAACTAGAGCAGTGCTCGTGACGTCTAGACACGGGCTCATCCTCACTTCTCGCGAGTCCTATTCAGAGGCGTCGCTAAGCCGCGAGCACAATCCCTCATTTAGCGGCAAATTATGTTCTCCTACCTGGAGTGACGTGGCAGGTATTGTCGCATGCGTCACCACCTAGGTGTTAAAACATTAGCTGACATTTTATTCTTGTTCACGATCTGTTATTGATACTACTTTACTGTTTTTCTCTACGTTGTGTCACCTATATATATAGCGGCACACTCGTACGCTCTATTTACTGATGTATGCTTGGGACGATAAACACAAACTAATAAGTTTTTGATGTTCAAATTATTTATTGGAGCATGTAAAAGGGTTCTCTGAATGTCAGATTAATGAAATATGACTTCACTTTTTACACTATAGACTAAGAGCTAGTGAACGCCAGACCTACGTCGTTATACCATGTAAAAATTTGGGCAATGATTAGAAGTTGTTTCCTCATCAGCCAGACAGTTTTGACTGTTCCAACTCCTTGCCAGACAATTTTTTTAGGGTAGCTGCCAAAGCCACGATGACCCAAACTTCAGTGGGTCTAGACAAAGTGCACATTTTAATCGCAAACCAGTCGAAAAGTGGTCGAAAAGCCTTTTTTTGTACGGAGTTTTGACGGATTCGATTTTGGATTTGATCAAAAAGTGCACTTTGTCTAGACCCACAGGATTCACCAATATTTTAACCTATATTGGGAGCATGCGCTGACAAACTTTCAGCTTTTATAAAATGACGTAGGTAGGTACGGGACTATTCCCACCTCTCGTTCCCACCACTGCGACTTCTGTGTAGCCAGGATCTATAGCTTGACCGCCACAAAAACCCAACCAATGAAGGTCAAGTTTGTCCCGGGGGAAAGTTATACTGTCATTGGACCCGCAACGAAATTAATCAGAAGAACATAGGAGTTCGAAATTAAGGTGACGTAGGTAGGTAGTTAGGTCTGGCATTCACTAGCTTTTAGTTAGTATCGACGCGAGATGGAACAAAAACTTTTTCACTTTTTACACCAGACGTTGACCCGCGACGGAGCAGTAATCGCCGGCCCGTTCACCATAAGTCCGGCGTGGTGGCGTGGCGGCGGCGCGGTGCGTGGCGGCGCGTGGTGTCGCGCGCCGCACGCCGGATTGCACACCGCCGCTCTCCGCGTGCTGTCGTCCACCGCCGTCGCTCGGCCCTTGCACATACTGGCAGATGCCTTGCACTTCACGCCGAACCACGTGACGTTAGAGGTGAGACCAAATTATTTCTTATTTGTCAAACTTTTGCTGTTTGACTTTTGCTGTTTTTAGCCTTTGCCAGGCCAATAAGCTAGTTTCTAAAAAAATCGTTTAGTCCGTCAATTAAATTATCAAAAAATATTGGATTTATGTCAGTCAAATAAGTAATTACGAAAATATCACGCGTTGTAGTACCGCGTGACGTCACGAAGTGCTATACTTTTAAGCACGTCTTGACGTCACGAACTTCTTCCTTTGAACTTTGGTGCGCTTAATCTCTTTAATTTTTTATTAATTTGAAAAAGTGAAAAATACGTGTCGAGTACTTTTTGATAAGTTAACCGACGGACTAATTCAAACTCTTGCTTTTTTTACCAGGAAACATCCCTATGGTGATTGCTGACGCTTTTAGGCTTTCGGGCTCTAGACGGACTGTACTTTAAGTGCACTCCGACTGCCAAATTGCAGTACAGATGCAAATTAAATGCAAACGGCAGAACTGCTATAAAACTTGCGATGTAGCATATGCTTTTGACAATAAAATCCTATTGCCTTAGCTTGCTGATGATACGATGGAAACGCCAAGCTACGTATACTCATTTCAGTATTAATATTACCTGATTCCGCTTCAACCATCTGGTTACTAATCAGCTTTGCTTCATTTTATTCTTTTGCTATTTCTCCGATCAGGCGCAAGACAAAGATTACGACATCTGCAGCGAAGATGACCCCGCCTGCGAATACTATGTGCACCTTGGGACAGCGTTCCCCAACCGATCGTTGTCTGCTACAGTCCAGATCGTGAACCATAGGTAACATTATCAGTAATACAGAAACTACTTACGAGTACATGCGACTAAGCTAGCTAGCTATCTTGATTCAAATTTTTGATCTTGCTAAAGAGTCCCCCTGGTAAACTTGCTAAGTTCTGCTACAAAAACACTCAAAAGCACTCATTCAGGGATATAGCAATAAAGTAACTAAGGAACTGCTAAAGTTCAAAAGATACAAAGCCTGTGCAGTGACTAGAATACTGACCGGCCACTGCAAACTAAACAAACATAAATCGAACATGAACATGACCGAGGAAACTCTGTGCAGATTCTGCCATACAGAAGAAGAAACGGCCATGCATGTTCTTTGCTCANGATGTCTGTAGTTTTACTTGAACAGATTTCATTCAAAGATTAATTTATTTTTAGAGACAATGTGGTACACATACATCTTGGAGCACAGAACTGTGTGCATGTGGTCATAAGTATGCACTATGCAGCTTTGCATTATGTGACAGTGACGCGGCGTTGGCCGTCCAAGCAAACAGTCACTGTAGGTACAGTCCTATCAACTTAAGNTGCTACACGTACACCATTTTATTCCTAACTCACACAATATGCTATGGAGATGACTATGATTAGTTTTTCTTTACGAGATCGAATCAGAAATGATGAGATCTGAAATCAAATTAAAAGTGAAATGGCAGTGGGCATTGGCAAGTGAATAGAACTTCCATTCACAAGGTGGACAGATGAACGCATAAAGATTGTAGGAAGGTGCTAAATACATTGTGACCGGTTGTCAATCTGGAAATCATTTGGAGAGGTCTATGTTCAGTAGTGGACGTCCTGTACACTGCTAAAGCCCGGTCCGTGAGCACGTAGAATTTTGTCCAATGACCCGTAGCTACCTATCCTTATCGCTCGCGCGTAATTATATTGCTGTCGCGACTGTGCGACTGGCACCAGCAGTGAGTTTGCGAGCGCGATAGCAACATAATTACGCGCGAGCGATAAGGATGGGTAGCTAGGGGTCATTGGACAAAATTACAGACAAGACTATACAAATAAAAGCTTAAAGTTTCAACCACATCAACGCGTGCAGATCGCCATCACCGGCGCGATCAAATGCCAATAAATAAATAAAAAATATATCCTTGGACATTTTTACACTGCGCCGCTAGCCCCAAACTAAGCAAAACTTGTACTGTGGGTACTAAATAACGGTTATAAACACTTAAATACTTTGCCAATGCCAATGACAGGTCGCGTGACCCATGACAGTTTGCGCGACCTGTCATTTTCCTATGATCGCGCCGTGATCGTGCCAGCGATGGTGATCTGCACGCATTGGTGTGGTCGAAGCATAAAGATTTTGATGATATTTTGTAGAGATGAAACGGATATCCGGCAACTATCCGGTAGGCCGGATATCCGGCCTAAATTTACTATCCGGCCGGATACCGGATAGTAACTCACTATCCGGCCGGATACCGGATATTAAAAAACTACGACAATTTCCTATTAATAAAATTAAATACATTAATCTTTGAGGTAAATATCAATAAAATGGCTTATAATAATGACGGCTTTTATTTAAAGTCCAAAAAGTAAAAAAAAAGCCATTCTTCAAAAAGCCTTTCAAAAAACTAATTTCTTTTTCTGGGCTATTCACTCTAATGACGAATACATAAATACAGGGTGGCCCAGAAGAAAATTCACTTTTGAAAATTGAAGGAAACGAAAACTGTACATTATATTATACTAGAACTTTAACTATTGCATTTTGAAGGAAAGGATAGTGCCAGGGTCTAGACCAAGTGCTGCCCAGAATCAACCCATAGTGCATTTTGTTCCTCAGGCCAATACTAATGTGTAAACCGAAGCACACTGAAATCTGTCCCTGGAGTTACGAGAAAAAAAGAGTTTTGTTTTGAATTATTTACATACAAAATATCATCGATATATACGTACTCCGCATAAGATTCGTGATTTTGGCATTAGATAACACTCGCTATGTTAAACTTAACCATACTGCATCCGTACACCTTACTTTAGTGCGACTTAGACATTCTTTAGAAGCGATCTAACGCTGTTGCAACAGTTTGGTTAGTTGACAAAAATCATTATTTCCATAATGAAGCAAGAAGTTTTAGTTCTCTATCCTTGCGAAAAATCAATTTATTGGTGTATTACAATCGATTATTGAAGTTATTGTAAGCTAAAACTTCTTGCTCTATTTTGGAAATAATTAATTTCGGTCAACTAACTAAACTACTGAAACAGCGCTTGATCGCTTATAAATAATGTCGAAGTCGTACTATAAAGTAAGGTGAACGGATGCAGTATGGTTAAGTTCAATATAGCGAGTGTTATTTAATGCCAAAATCGCGAAATCTTATGCGTAGTAGGTATACATCAATGATATTTTGTATGTAAATAATCTCTTTTTTTCTCACTTAACTCCAGGGATAGATTTCAGTGCGCTCCGGTTTACAAATTAGTATTGGCCTGAGGAACAAAATGCAATTAATTTTCTTCTGGGCCACCCTGTAGTAAATAATATCTGTTAATGTCGAAATATTGCCAAATAAAAAAGACGATCTTTTTTTCACTGATGGTTTGATGACATGATGATGCAGTTCAGTCGCAGTCGCTCGAATTGATCTGCCCCCTAGACAAGTGGCAAAATCTGACATTCTATACGGACAGATTCGATTTTCGAAGTGTGACTAGTTTAGTCTACTAATAGACCCAGTGATCGCGTTCGAAGCACCTGTGTGGCGCTAAACTCGTCACGACATGAAACGAGACAATGGGCCAACTATCCGGCCGCCGGATATCCGGCTATCCGGCCTAGCAGCTGGCCGGATATCCGGCTATCCGGCCTAGCAGCTGGCCGGATATCCGGTATCCGGTATCCGGCCAAACAACTATCCGTTTCATCTCTAATATTTTGTTCCATGTTTTTAGTCCTATAATCTACTCGTACTACTGGAGCGTGCGGCCGTGGGGCGTGTGCTCGTGCTGGGAGGCGGCCGAGTCCGCGGGCTCCGAGGAAGACAGCGAGCTGCTGTGCGTCGGCGCGCTGCAGGCCCGCGCTCAGCAGGACACGGTACATATTGTATTTTTTTTTTATCCACAACGAGGAAGCTCTTGGCCTGTATCTCACCTGATGGTGAGTGACGATCAAGCAAGGTGGAACCGAGCTTCACCCGGAATCCTCAACCACGGAGGAACTGGCTATCTTACCTCTAACTGTATATTCCATGCTGTAGTCCGATCTTCTTTTTCTTATCATGTCGACAACAAACCTACACAGTGTCAGCCCAAAACTCCGCTACAAGAGTGACATTGTCAGCAGCATTCATTAAATCCTCCTGAGTGCAGTTGCTCGGGCACTCAGGACACGACATCATGTGCTTCATCGACTGGGGAACAAAACCGCACCTGCACTCTATGTTTGAGCCATCCAAGAATCCCCACTTGACTAGATTGTCCTTACTACGGCCAACTTGCGTCTGAAGTCTATTAAAAGACTTCCAGGTAAGCCATGTCAAGGTGGAGGACTCTCAGACATAGGGACAAAAGGGCAGGGGAGATCAGTTCTCTCGCGCCATAAACTTCATCTCTCTTTTGACCGATCATCATGAAGTCCATTAATCTACTCGTACTGGAGCGTGCGGCCGTGAGGCGTGTGCTCGTGCTGGGAGGCGGCCGAGTCCGCGGGCTCCGAGGAAGACAGCTTATTCCATGTTCTGAAGTCCGGTCGCCGAGCACATACGAGTTCGTCCAATGACCCTAAACCCATCCTTATCGCTCGCGCGTAATTAATATTGCTGTCGCGCTCGCACACTTACTGCGGCCGCTCATAAGCTTACTGAAAAACCACAGCGCTTACGTTATTTAAGTTACATACACATAACTAACTCCTTTTACATCAGCTTGATTTGCATTACTACCAGCTTTGTAATTTTTTGACACTGCAGAGCTACTCGAAGCTTCTGATATTTTAATATTGCTTTTTCTTGTAATTTTTACATCACATTGTAGATGCAATCAGTTAGCTTCGCTTAGGCGTGACATTGCAATACTCTTGTTCATCAAACGCCTACGTTGGATAAACGCTCATATGAAGGAGAACTTACGCCCGTATTCACAGACGATGCTTGCGCCCACGCGCACTGTGAGGCCTCATAGTAATGTTTGTAAATACGGGCGTTAATCCCCTGCTTAGCTAAAAAGCTTTTTTTAATTTAATGCTGTTTACCTACTAGAGCTCGTCCAGCGTCAATCCAGCGACAGCAGCGCGGCTGACGCGCGTGGAGCCGGCACGCGGGCGCGTGGCGCCGCGCTCTTCCAGCGCGCTACACGTGTGCGTGCCCGATGTAGGCGCATGTCTTGGCACGCAGCGCGCCGTGCTCATGTAATTATCATTTTACGTATAACTAGCGGCCGGCCCCTGGTTTGCAAGGGTGCTAAGTATACATATAAACCTTCCTCTTGAATCCATCTATCTACACTATCTACACTATTATTATAAAGAGGAAAACTTTGTTTGATTGTTTGGTTGTAATGAATAAGCTCAAAAACTACTGGACCTTTTTAAAAAATTCTTTCACCATTCGAAATCTACATTACTCACGAGTAACATAGGCTAAATTTTATTTTGGAAAAAATAGTGTTCCGTAAAATATTTGCGTACGAAGTCGCGGGCGGCCGCTAGTCTATTATAAAATTGCATCAAAATCCGTTGCGTAGTTTGAAAGATCTAAGCATACACAGGGACAGACAGCGGAAAGCGACTTTGTTTTATACTATATAGTGACTATCAAACCAAAGGCTTCTGAGTAGTATTAATATCTACAGTAAAAATCATCAGCATCGTCATTTCAGCCACAGGACGTCCACTGCTGAACATAGGCCTCCCCCAATGACTTCCACATCGCACGGTTGGTAGCGGCATGCATCCAGCGCCTTTTCGCTACCTTTATCAGGTCGTCGGTCCACCTTGTGAACAGTGCAGTAAAAATGCTATGTAATCTGTGTGTGACTGACCTCATCCTTCCTTACTCCTTTTCAGGTTGATTCTAAAAGACATTCCAAAGGAAAGCTTCCCTCAGGACTATGACCCGATGATCGTGAAGACTGAAACAGTTATGTCCGAAACCATACCTGGACAAGAGGTACAATTAATGATTGAATACTTCGTAACAAATGGCGTAGAACGAAACGACTACGGGTCGTGAGCCTTAGTAGCTACGGTCGTAATCTTAGCAACAAAACGGGTCTTACCGGCTGCGGATCGTAGCAAATTGACTACGGTATTGTAGTCCTAGCGACTACGGATCGTAGTCCTAGCGATTACGGATCGTAGTCAAGGCGACTACGGGTCGTAGCTTTAGCTAAACTGCAGATCGAAGTACAAACGACTACGTATCGTAGTCTCAGCGACTACGGGTCGTAGTCTTAGCGGCTACGGATCGTGGCAAAGCGACTACGGATCGTAGTCAATACAGCTACGGGTCGTAGTCCAAGCGTAAGCCGTAAAAACCAATACAGAAGGGCGAATATACTTAAAGTGATAGCTTATCATTTTTACGAAAACAGAAAAAAACGGGTCAAGATTTTTATAAGTCAATTAGAAATAGTTCAGTCCATCTAAGTAGGTAGGTCAAAACTCGCACCCTGGGTTTAATGTTGACATGACAATTGAGAATGTTACTAGGTATGCAAAATCACTTGAAACCTATGTTACAGTTAAGCTTTTACATTTACAAATACATTAGTTTTTATTTCATTCAAAAATACCCAGTAGTTATGATTTTATAGGCATTCAAAGTTCGCTTAAATATTGAGTCCCGCCGACGGTCACGTGACCCCGTGTGACGTACATTCACAGCGTCCGCTCACTAGAAAACGGATATAAACATACTTAAATATTTTTTTTTGTAAATACAAACTTATTGTACATATTAACACCCAGACCCATCACAGAAATTAAAATTGAACCAAACCCAAACTTGATGCGATTGTGTCATTTTATTGCGAATTAGCTTCCAGCTCCATCATTAGACCCCGATTACTATATAGAATTAAAATACTCATCAATACAAAACGAACGAGCCCAAACTCGATGCATTTAAGTCGTTTTATTATAGAGTTCCTATGGCCACCTTCCAGCTCCATCATCAGATCAGCTCCATGTCATCATAATATTGCATGGTCATCCAAATCACATGTGTTTGCGAAATTTCAGCTTAATCGGTTGCCTGGAAGTGGGTCTTAATTCAGTTTGCAAGATTCCACCCATACAAATATGAGCCAGTCACTGTAATATGACGTCACGCGCATAAAATGGCGGGCCGGCCGCCGCCCGCACTTTTAAAATTCAATATCTTGGAAACTAATTGACGTACCGAAATAATTCTTTCACGTGTATTTTTTATTTTTAACAGAGAATACAGAAAGCTAAAAAACAAAATTAGTGAACATTCTTCATTCATTTTGTCGTAAAGGTGTTTATGTCCTGCCCCAAAACTACCCGAAACCCCGACTTATTCCCGATGTGTTTGTGCATACGTCACGTCGCACACATAAACCACGGTAACTGCAGCCACGGATGTGCTGCGGAATGTAGAATTAGTCCAGCATACAGCGCAGCCGGATTTTAAGTCCTTGACGATGTGTTGTATGTACCTACTTTCCTAGAAACTGTTCAATTTACAGAAAAAATATCTTTTTTTGTAACAGCTGTATGCACCGAATAGGCATAAATGCAGAAATCAAACTTGTCACCATCTTACCAACTATTAACATTTTTTTTTTATATTTGAAAATTTTGTGTGTGTTGTTTTTTTTTAAATTACCGTGACCCAGAAAGAACACAAAACCTCATCACTCAGCAGTTAGAAAGCTACACTCAACATCAAATAAACCGCACCTTCCGCGACGCGAACTTTAAAGATTTTCTTCTGACACAATCATGGTACCCCAACAATATTGGTGTTATTTGAAAGCCCAATAAATATCCTTAAAGAAAAATACATTTCATTTCTAAATAAATGATTAACATAAACCATAAAATATGTGACTTGAAAATAGACCTCACTTTGGGCTCACCTCTGGGATCAATTAGACCAATTTTTATGGCTATAAAACCAAATAAAGATCTCACGTGTCCTCTTTAACAGATGGAAAGCGATTAATTCCAACTTAACAGTTTTATAGTCATAAAAATGGCTATAGCGTAACTACCTATTTTTTGAAGAAATGACTCTGGATCCTTGTAAAGACACATTTTTGGGGTAAAAACCTTTCCTTTAATGAAATAAAGTTTAGAACTAGGCTTTCAAATGGTACCAATGTTGGTGGTAAGTGGGGATGCATACGTTTGATAAGTGCTTGTCGTGGAAGGTGCGATTTATTTGATGCCGAGTGTATTTTTTTTTCATTTATTTGGGACGAAAAAGCAGTTTTACAATGGTTCTTAGTCTAGAATCATACTTATCTATCTAAATTATTATATGACCAAAAACAATTTCCACATATTACCATGTATAAATCTATTGAGAGCAGACCTTTAAAAATTTGGTTTAGGGTAATTAATTTTCTTCACATTATCTAAATGAACACTGTTTTCTTCTAGCCTTGGTCCCGCGAAGTTTGCGAAGTGGTGTGCTCGCAACTAGAAGTGTGGTGGGAGGTGGTGCCAGTCAGATTCGTCTTGGACCCTCCCATTTTGCCACTGCCTCACTCGAGAAGGTAAATTAACCTTCAAGCGGGCGCGCGGTCTTTTGTAACGGCAGCGGTCGCGCGTAAACGAAAAGACCTATGGGGTCTAGTAAATAAATAAAGCACTTATTTTCCAATAATCATTTATTATTTTGTACGCAGATATATTTTGATTGTATTTAAGTCTTTAGTAATTTGAATTAAGTTAAAGAAACTATTATTTAATCAATTAACATGACGAAAATATTATTTGATCCAAAAACTAATTTTTGAACACAAAATGTTTTAAAATACCTCAGAATAGTTCATATACCTGGTAAAAACGATAAAAATGGCAAAATAATGATAAAACATAATTTTATAATTTTGGCTCAGTTTGGCTTGGTCTCTGAGCTCCGAGTCACTCTCTTTATCGTCTTTTCGTAATAATGCCTCTGTTATTTCACTTTGTACTAGCAGTCTACGACTTATTTAATAAGAAGAAACAGTATTGCAAGCTTAATTCAATAATATTGGGTGATATACGAAGAAATGTTATATCGCATAGAGAGTCGCGCGTAACCTTTTCAACGACAGGCGCGTGGCGTGCTTTCGACGCCGGCGCCGCGACTAAAACAATAGCAAGCCATGGGGTGGGAAAAGCGCGGAGAGCTGAGATAAGGTCTTTATTTCGCTCACAATGAGTAAGCGACAGGCTACTAAAAATGAGAAATATGTGTAACATGTAAAAAAAAGTTATGAACGAAAATGTGTTAGGCGCGGTCGATTCGACGCCGCGCGCCCGCTTGAAGGTTAAATTATTATGCTATTAACTAAATACAATTTGTTGTGATTGCTGAATTATTACTAGATTAAATGTCATGTAGTACAGATTAAGCAAGCAATATTATGCTATTAAGTAAATACAATTTGTTGTGATTGCTGACTTATTACTAGATTAAATGTCATGTGTAGTACAGATTGAGCAAGTAAATGGTATAAGATGTAACTGGGTTGCCCTAAACTAGAATACGAGGTATAGTGTACACATAATAGCGTGTAGTGTATTTAATATTATTTACCTAATGAGTGATTATAGTTAGGTACAGTTGAATCAAAAGCCGGAAATATTTCCATTAAAGATCGTAATGACATATAAAATCCCATCAATAAGTCGTAATATAAAGTTAAGTGCCGCACTGAAACACTAACAACTCTGATCATAACGACGGCGTAAGTGTCGTTAAAATAAGCCCTTACATAGATATAAAGGCTTCATAAATGTATTTATCGGTTGACAAATTATGGCCCATAGATATTTCGCTTGATTTTGCTCGCTATTTGTGTTTGTACTTTATTTTGTGTCTAAATCCATTGACATATTTTCTTTATACTAAATAGTTCAAAATGATGATAATGATCCAAAAATTCACACAATTCTCGGAAATACCTGTCTTTACTAATATTATAAATGCGAAAGTAACTCTGTCTGTCTGTCTGTCACGCTTTCACGCCTAAACCACTGAAGCGATTTTGATGAAATTTGGCATAGAGATAGTTTTTGAGTCCCGGGAAAGGACATAGGATAGTTTTTATCCTGGTTTTTAAAACTGGATCGCGCGCGATAATGTTTTTCTGTGATAGACAAAATTCCACGCGGGCGAAGCCGTGGGCGGAAAGCTAGTAAAGAATAAATAAATGGGTAATTTTCATATTAAGACTTACAAGTTACAGCTTACAGTATTACACTAAATTTCCTCTCAAAATCGCGCCGCAATTCTACAACCAATATGCAAGACAGTTATTTCTATCCTACTCCACCATTAAATTGAATTAATACCAAACTTAGTCCATAGTTTAACCGCTCTAACCGTTATTGGAGAATCGTATCCACATTAGTGAATCTACATCTAAATGGGCGCCATCTGTCTGTATTAAACTCGCAATTTGGCTCAACTGTTGGATGGCTGAAAAAGCGGCGGAGCGTGTATAGCTGGAGTTGGATATAGACAGAATATATTGAAATTCGTGACATAGTCAGCTGTTATACCAAAGATGTATGTTTGGGTGCACAGTTTCACACAGTATTTTGAATATAATTTTCAAATGTCTACTAAGGTTTATTATGTAGATAGGAAAGTAAAATAAAACTAAACTTCACCACAGCTATGGGACGGGCCATACTTCACTCACGTCTGCGGCGTGTCTTAACTTTTGTAATCACCACCAGCAGCTGCCGCCACTAAACTGCAAGCGTCGTCATAAAAATTTGAATTTTAGTCAAAATATCTATAGTAATATTACTTGTAATAATTGAGAATGTTACTAGGTATGCAAAATCACTTGAAACCTATGTTACAGTTAAGCTTTTACATTTACAAATACATTAGTTTTTATTTCATTCAAAAATACCCAGTAGTTATGATTTTATAGGCATTCAAATTTCGCTTAAATATTGAGTCCCGCCGACGGTCACGTGACCCCGTGTGACGTACATTCACAGCGTCCGCTCACTAGAAAACGGATATAAACATACTTAAATATTTTTTTTTTGTAAATACAAACTTATTATACATATTAACACCCAGACCCATCACAGAAATTAAAATTAAACCAAACCCAAACTTGATGCGATTGTGTCGTTTTATTGCGAATTACCTTCCAGCTCCATCATTAGACCCCGATTACTATATAGAATTAAAATACTCATCAATACAAAACGAACGAGCCCAAACTCGATGCATTTAAGTCGTTTTATTATAGAGTTCCTATGGCCACCTTCCAGCTCCATCATCAGATCAGCTCCATGTCATCATAATATTGCATGGTCATCCAAATCACATGTGTTTGCGAAATTTCAGCTTAATCGGTTGCCTGGAAGTGGGTCCTAATTCAGTTTGCAAGATTCCACCCATACAAATATGAGCCAGTCGTTGTAATATGACGTCACGCGCACACAATGGCGGGCCGGCCGCCGCCCGCACTTTTAAAATTCAATATCTTGGAAACTAATTGACGTATCGAAATAATTCTTTCACGCGTATTTTTTATTTTTAACAGAGAATACAGAAAGCTAAAAAACAAAATTAGTGAACATTCTTCATTATACAATGCAATGAATGAATGAATGCATGCAATTACCAGTAGCAATTTCGGTAATCTATTACTTATAATAAATCTGTAGAGAGGTCAATTCTGTACATGAAATATATTTTCAAAATAACTATCAGGGGGTGATAAGTGATCGATACTGATGCCAAAAATGCAATCAGTAATATTTTTGTCTGTCTGTCTGTCTGTCTGTCTGTATGTTCCTTATAGAAACAAAAACTACTCGACGGATTTTAACGAAACTTGTTACAATTATTCTTCATACTCCTGGGCAGGTTATAGGATACTTAGGAATTCCAACGGGAACGGGAATCAGCGGGAAAATCCTTTTGTATGAAAAATTTAAACCGCTTAAGTTAGACGCTTGAAATTTGGCATGCAGGTACCTCAGTAAACTTAAAGCTTAGTTACAACAGGATATTGCAAAATTCCCACGGGAACGGGAGTTAGCGGGAAAAAACATTTGTATGAAAAATCTAAACCGCTTAAGTTAGACGCTTGAATTTTGGCACGCAGGTACCTTAGTAAACTTAAAGCTTAGTTACAACAGGATATTGCAAAATTCCCACGGGAACGGGAGTTAGCGGGAAAAAACATTTGTATGAAAAAATCTGAACCGCGTAAGATAGGTGAAGGGGGGGTAAAACGAGATCCACGCGTACGAAGTCGCGGGCGGCCGCTAGTCAATAATATGGGAATGTAGGTAATGTAGCTTTCTGTAAATTACGAAAAAATACTCGTACACACAATAAGTTTAAACACTGAATATCGGGTTGTTTCTCGCTGCTTCAGCACTGTTTTCCAATACTTTCCGTAATTAATTGCTTGCAGATCCATTTATGTTTCCCCTATTGACTCATTTTGGAGAAATTTATGTGTTTTGTTCGGTGCTAATTTAAATAAATCGCCTTGTTTTGAAGCTCAAGTGATATTGGAGATTATTATTCCCCCAACAGGCGCAGGAAATATTTCGTATTTCAAGTAATTACCAAAAATGTGGGCTTATAACTCTTCAGCCAGATGATAATTTATGTTGAAACTGTTAATTCTGTACGAGAATGTTTCAAATGTAAGGCGGTTATCACACTGCGCCGCGCTCCGCCACGGAGCGCGTGATTTCATATAAAAAATCCCGCGCGCAGACGCGTTGTCAGTGTTTTGTGCCGCGCGTGTTTTCTATACAAACTGAGGTACTTAATTACAATAATTAAATCTGTCGTCCCGCGTACCCGCGGCGGAGCGCGGCGGAGCGCGGCGGAGCGCGGCGCAGTGTGATAACCGCCTAATACTGGTAATACCTCCCCCAAGGTTTTCCATAACCATGAAAGCTTTATGATCCTTTCTCAATTTATTGGTGATGTTGAATGCTCTATTATTTTGGGTTGACTAGCTTTGAGGGATTGTTATAACCATAGCATTATGTTCACCTTTTGTACCTTGCAATAATTGACTTTAACGAGGAATCTTGTTCACCAGGGTAAAAGAAGTGGAGCTATCAGTGCGAGCGACCCAGTTGTACGGCAGTGAGAGTGTAGCCACGCGTTGGAGCCTTCCAACGCGCGTGTGCCCGCCGCCCGCGCCTCGCCTGTCGCCAGCTCAATCCGCCGCCGCCACGCTGGCGGTGCCGCTGCCCAGCCTGCCCAATGAGCACCCTGAGACTGACGTGTTTGTGTGAGTACCTCAAAGCTGTCTGACACTCTTTACTAAGCTTTGGAACTAGAGCTGTCAGTGCGAGTGATCCAGATGTACGGCAGCGCAGTCCGCCGCCGCGACGCTGGTGGTGCCGCTGCCCAGCCTGCCCAATGAACACCCTGAGACTGACGTGTTTGTGTGAGTACCTCAAAGCTGACACTCTTCACTAAGCTTTGGAACTAGAGCTGTCAGTGCGAGTGATCCAGATGTACGGCAGCGCAGTCCGCCGCCGCCATGCTAGCGGTGCCGCTGCCCAGCCTGCCCAATGAACACCCTGAGACTGACGTGTTTGTGTGAGTACCTGAAAGCTGTCACTCCTTACTATAGTCTTTTGCACCTAAGATGATCCGTATGACGTTTCGAGTTTGAAAGATTTAGAAATGTCACATAACTAAACCATAGCGATTTATCTATCGATTTTTTTCGAAGAGTTAGTAAAACCTACTTTTAGAGAAATATTTTGTATAGGTGTTATTTAACAAAAAACATGTTTTTTACAATCACAAATATTATTGTAACAATTTTTTATTGATAATATTCAAATTTCATGGTTCATGTTCAAAAAAACGATTCCTAAAAAGTACTGGTTCTGTTTCTTTAAATTAAAAACCATTAATTTATTTTAATGCGTTTATTAAAGTCAATAATCGAAAAATATAGTTGATTTTTGTGATGTTTTTAATAACTAAGTATTCACTGCAATCGATTAATGAACCGCGGAACTAATCGATTTTATTATACAAGAAATACCCCAGCACTAAATCTATTCCGTTTCACACATTGCGTACATGAAATAAATAATATTTTTACATCGTATTTAATTAAAATATAATCAATAGACTCAGACTTTACTATATTTTTCAAGACAAGGTAGTTATTTTTTTTTATTCTATTGCTAATAAAATACAAATATTTTTTCAAAAATATTCTGCATATGTAGTATGCGTAATATGGATAACCTTGAAGTGTCATACGGATCATCTTACGTGAAAAAGACTATAACCCCCTTACTGATAAAACTTACACGCTCGTTGATCAGTGTTTTAAAGTGACGTTTAGTATGGAAATCTCATTTTAAATCAGTGATCAACAACTGTGAAACTTTTTATTAGTAAGGGGGTAAAGATTCAAAGATCATTTATTCACAGAGATAATGTGGTACAATAATAAATGTAGTCTTAAATTAAAGAGAGGTGCAGCTTATCTCACCAGCGCAGCTGGCATGTGAATTTGTGCATAAAAAATCATTATTATAATTATGCCAATAAATTCAATTAATTTTTAAATAATATTATTACAATAATCTTACTTCAATAAATTAAATTAGATGTCAAATTGTTTATTGTAATTTATATGTCTAAGCCTTGGAACTAGGGCTGTCAGTGCGAGCGATCCAGATGTACGGCAACGTCAGTCTGTCAACGAAAGCCAGCACTGTCGACCGCCGCGGCACCACCACGCTGAGCGTGCTGTGTGATTAATTGTAATGAAAGCTAACACTCATTTATGTCGGCACCACACGTTGGAACCAACGTTGGGCAAACTATTTTCTAGACCCACACGTTGAACGAGTTGGTGTTGCGACCAACGTATGGAGCTGACCTTACTAGATCTACTGTAAGATTTCTTCCTGCACTTTGATTGCAATAACTTTATGTAATTTAATTAATTACATAAATAATAAATAAATAAATGTAAAATGGCATGATCATGAGCTTTTATGTCTTTGTCTTTCGAGCATCAAACATGATTATGTTAAAAATCATAACACACAGGTTGAGTTACATAATATCCAGTGACGACAGCAAATTGAATCGTGTAGGTATGGCATCTGATTTTGCATAATCCTTTAATTCTGTATGGATAATATAATTTACTGGAAACCAATTTACTCCATTCTTGTTCCTCAACGCATAATGAAACAAATTACTAGAGTGTGATTAATCACCAAAGCTCTAGTTTCAATTATAGGTCCCATTATTATGTAGTATTAGAATAGATATTGGTATCATTGGTGGATAATGAGGATATCATTTCAACTACGTCCACGGTTGGACAAAGACTGCCTTTCCAAAGATTTTGTCCACAACAAATAATCACGGTCACACGTAAGGTCACGGAAAACGCCCAGCGAGATAGGGACACTGGAACTAGGCCGTTGTTTCACCGAGTGGGAGGCCTACCTACACTTCGTCTTCTGGTCTCCTTTTTTATTCTTCCTGCCTCGTTCGTTCGTGAGCCAAATGACGTCCACTGCTGGACAAAGGCCACCCCCAAACAAAGGTCTTCCTGCCTCACGGCGTACGAACCGAATCTCGGGAGAGCGCGCGTGTACTTCTCGAGGCTCTTTTCCCCGGGCGCTTTTCCTTCACGTATACGTCTTCCGCTCTGTGTTTTCCATTCAAAAACTTAACATTGTTAGGTGTACTAAAGCCTGGTCCGTGAGCACGTAGAACTTTGTCCAATGACCCCAAGCTACCCATCCTTATCGCTCGCGCGTAATTATATTGCTGTCGCTCTCACACACTCACTGCGGGTGCCCGTCGCACAGTCGCGACAGCAATATAATTACGCGCGAGCGATAAGGATGGGTAGCTTGGGGTCATTGGACAAAATTCTTCGTGCTCACGGACCAGGCTTTACATGATTACTTGTTTATCATATTAGGCTGGAAGCAGCCAGCGGCGAGTGGAGTTCCCAGAGCGCTGTGATCCGCCAGTGCGCGACCAGACACCCGCGTCTGTCGCCCGCGCGCGCCTGGCTTGGCGTCGTGCCGCCGGGAGCACACATGCGCGCGCAGTTCCAAGTATTCAACGACACACATCAGCACGTAAGGATACCCTGCAAGACTTTATTGGTCAAGCTGTGGCTCCTGGCTACACAGGAGTTGCAGTGGTGGGTAAGTCAAGATGGAAATCGGGTATACCTGGTCTTGTTCTTGCGCGGCCAGTCTGCTGGGTGACAGGTGATAGTGAAGACGATATACTCAAGATGTCAGCAGGTAGCGGGTAAGGACAAAACTTGTAACTGCTACGTACCTACTACCTCGTTCCTGCCACCGTTATCATAGCGCAGGACGCTCCTGAAGGAAGTTACCGGAGTATAGTTGACACTATTAACCAATAATAAAATTATTAGGTAAAACTTCTCTAAATGAATACAAAATTGTAGCTGTTAATACCGGAGAGTCGTGTATTTTGACAGCTCAAAGAAAGTATGCCAACTGGCTGTTGGTGTCAGCTAGCCTATTATCCTTTTTGTAAGTTAATACGTGCGTAAAATCACGTGATAATGTATAAAGTACTTGTGTTTATTTATCCTGTTTGTTCAAACGTGGTTTGTGTTTTGGATTACAAAGGCAATGGCCGCGAATCAGACTGATTATCTCTTAAGTCTGTGTACCAATTGGTAGAGATAGCTTCAAGCAATGAGACCGTCTCAAGTGTTATTGTTGTCTCAACATGCTTTAATTCGTGCAATTCAGTTTAGGTATAATTATTTCTGAAAATAGCTCAGTTGATTCATGTCATATACCCTGTGTAGGTAGATATTTGAGAAGTCTTCATCAATACTTAATTTTAAGTGATCCCTATGGTAACAGATATTAGACATTTTGTTTTAGAGGGGTCACTTAAATTAGGGATTGATGGTGAAAACGGGCATTAAGTTTTTAACTGTCACTTACGTGCCGAAGTATGCATTTGAAACTATTCATTCTCATCTACTATATTTTTCGAAGTGTGTTGTCGATAGAACAATGTTGTTGCAGTAATCACCTATTTAAAATAACATAAGATGCCACAGTGTTTACCTCATGTTCCATCGTCCGTAGAATAAAGATTGCAATTTATCTCTCCATTGAACTGTATCTAATTTAACTTGTTTATAAACTTACTTGTGTCCCTCAGATCTGCTGGTGGGGCACTGCGTTCCGCTGGCACGGCGAGCATGAGCCGAGCGCGCTGTGCGCGGGTCGCGAGCCGTGCGCACAGTGTCGCGAGCGCGCGTGTTCTTGTGCACTGCTGCGGCCCACGCGTGGGGCACTCGCGCACTCACGCGCAACGCGCATGGTGTATGACGTCAACGCACCTGATGTGAGTCCTTGTTCTTTATTATAACCTGGGGAAGGAAGTCTACATCTCATCTGATGGAATGTGATGACTATGCTGAAGATGGAAACAAACTTAACCTGAAATTTGACGTCAGTTTTTGTTTCGTAGTCACAACGGAGAAGCTTAGACCTTCATCGCATCTGAAAGTGATTATCAGGTCTAAGGTAAAAGGGAATTTCAAACTGGTTCTGCAACCACAGACGAACTTTCTATTGACAAAAAATACTTTACCAACAAATTGAAAAAGTGCCGAAAACTCCCCCTACGCTAGACGAGTGTTAGTTTGAAATTGAAAATTTGATTCCGATCCTGTGATTCTATTCCATCGAGTTTACAATCACGGAAGTTTAATAATACCAGGATCTGTATGATAAGTTTTTTTCTTGGAGCACAGGCAAGTCAAATGAACACAAACATTTTAAGAAACGATTTAAAAAATACGTTTATTAAGAAGGTTATTATAGCCTTTGTAATGTCAGGCGCCTGTGGTGGTTTATAATATTTTATTATGCTAACACCGTGTTGCGACCTGAGTTACAACCCACACGTTAACACGATGAAAAAAGGAAACCGTGCGTAAATTTTCGGGTGTACTCTTTCAATAATTTAATGGAGCTGGTCGTGGCAGTATAATTCTTCCCCAGTCCCCCAACCACACGGCGACTGTTGAAGCGTGAAGGCAATCGAGAAAGCGGCTTATATGTGGGGTTAATAATTTAATAAGCTTTGTGTTGTGATATCGCGCCACAACAGGTATACGGATTACGGCGTTTATTTTGATCTTGCCATTGTCTTCAGCCGCGACCCAAATATCGCCAGCAGCCTTCGAGTCAATCCAATTAGGCCGATTGTTTGACACTCGACCTATCATAATCATACCCAAAACGCGCTAATTCGTTATCGGGCTTGAGCCCTTTGAAATATACCGGCATATTTTGTTACAACAATAGGGATGTTTCCTGGGTAAAAAAGCAAGGATTTTAATTACAATGAACGGCACGTAATTTTAACTTTTTTAAACTAATGAAAATTAAAAGAGATAAAGCTCGCTAAAGTTCAAAGGTAGAGTCCCGTGACGTCTAGGTGTGCTTAAAAGTGTAGCACTTTGTGAAGTCACGTCACTTCGTTTGATTTACTAATAAGAATATACGACGTGTCCAATATTTTTCGATTTCAAATGTAATTGACGGACTTAGTTTTTTTTTAGGAAGCCAGCTTATTGGCAAACTTGACAATTATTCAGTAGGTAGTAGGGATAGACTGTTCAATTTTATCAGTAGTAAACAGGTTGGTTCAGTTTGTTCGCTGCCAGTTTAACTTGTGCGGTAGTTCAATTTTCGTATTTTTATCGAGTTGTCGAAACTTTCTGTATTGGCAGGGTTTTCTCGGAGCAAAGCTGTTGCATATCTTTGCATCTTTATAAGGATTTTCTACTTTAATAAAGGATAGTGATGAACTGCAAAGTAAAGTCATAAGTCACAGTGATTTTAAGTGTCACATTCTTAGGGTTTGGGAAAGAAGTCACTAAGAATTTAATATTTCACTTGGTTATTAATTTTCATTCACAAATTGAGAACAGTAATAATATAAAAGATTCTTGTCATATTTTTAATACCAACTTTTCATCTTCATCTTCTAAGAATTTCTTCTTCTAACAATTTTATTAAAATAAAAGTTGTCGTCTTTATTCTAAGAAACAAAGTAAAGAGGGTCTAAAGCAAGGCAAGTTGTTACAATATTTTATTTCGTTATTTCTCTTGATAATTTACTTTTACGAAACGCGGATAAAAACCAACTAGCGTAAGATCATTATCCATAATAATGTCTGATACGTATCAATCAAATCTGGTATACGATTTCCCAGTAAAGTATAATAATAATGGAATAAAAAATATAATAATGATGGATAATTGTGATGTTCCTTATTAGATCAGGACCAAAATTCTTATTAAAGAAAACCGACGTCAGTTTTATGTTGAAACCTACATACTGATAAAAATGATGATGTGATATTATGCAATAGATATGGTATCATTTTTAGAGCCAAGTACCTATTACGTTCTTATTTTAGTAGGTGAATGTTTTATTTTGTCCTGGATGTCTTACGCGAAGATGTCATTAAGACGCGAATCAGTTATTAGTCGTGTCAACAGGAAGCATTCCATTCCATTCTTATCGGAAACACGTTTCGGCTCATAATGACAACTTCTCAAAATGACAACCTGGTCGCAAAATTAATGTCCACTTCTCGAAATGACAACTTCTTAAAATTTCAACTTCGCTAAAAGACAACTTCTCATAATGTCTATTTCTCACAATGACAAATTCGCATTATATTTTCTCAATACGAAGCTTGTATGAGTTAGATATTCAATCCACAGTTTCAAGTGTTGAATTTCCCAATAAAGTATGCTAAGAGGTAACACAGCCCTCATTAGCGAGGTGTAAGAGGCCGAGGCTCGTCTACCTGAATGCTCCAAGGGACTGAGATAACAACATTCCAAGCCTCGGCATCTCAGGTTTTGCTACAGGTGTGAATAGAAATGAGGGTTCAATGGCTCTTTGAAGATGTCACGCTTTATTTGCACACTTGTTCGTAATAGCTCGTGATTTTATTTACTAATAGTTAATGTAATATCGTTCTTTGTTTTATTACTTGATAAACAGTAATTCAAAGCTTTGAATTTAATATGATACTGCGAAGATTGCTGTCTGTATTCCAGGAAACAGACTTAGGGAGAGTACTAAGCTCTAACATTTCACTTCATTATGCTCCTGTTTATTACTCCACTTCCAACAAGTCCGGACAACTTCCTAGTAGAATACCTTCATTATCATTAATAGTGTTAGTCCAGTCATTTAAGCTAAAATTAGGTAAGAATCTCGGAATTCGAGATACCCAGCTGTAAGTCTGTATATTGACACCCTAAAAGTTGTCTCAAAACCTACATATGGTAGGGTGTAAGCAACTATTAAATTTTAAGGTCAAAGGTCACAAAAATCGCTTTTTTTGGAAATATCTCATTTCCTATGAGTTTTTTGCTATTTGTATTTATTATTAATATTGTAAAATAAAAAAATCTCTACAAATTTTGTTCAAAAAAATTTTTTATACGGTGAACCGTTTTCGAGATAGAGGGCGGCCGCTAGTACTTATAATAAATCTGTAGAGGCCAATTCTGTACATGAAATATATTTTCAAAATAACTATCAGGGGGTGATAAGTGATCGATACTGATGCCAAAAATGCAATCAGTAAAATTTTTGTCTGTCTGTCTGTCCGTCTGTATGTTCCTTATAGAAACAAAAACCACTCGACGGATTTTAACGAAACTTGGTACAATTATTCTTCATACTCCTGGGCAGGTTATAGTATACTTAGGAATTCCCACGGGAACTGGAATTAGCGGGAAAATCCTTTTGTATGAAAAATCTAAACGCTTAACGGAAGTTAGACGCTTGAAATTTGGCATGTAGGTACCTTAGCAAAAGTAAACAACAAGGAATTCCCGAAATTCCCACGGGAATTAGCGGGAAAATCCTTTTATATGAAAAATCTAAACCGCTTAAGTTGACCTGAAGTGATGCAGTGACCGCGCGCTCTCCGCCCTCTATCTCGAAAACGGTTCACCGTATAAAAAAAAAAATTTAAACAAAATTTGTAAAGAATTTAGTATTCTACAATATTGATAATAATTAATACAAATAGCAAAAAAACCCATAGGAAATGAGATATTTCTAAAAAAAGCGCAAAAAAACCGTTGACCTTGAAATTTAATAGTTGCTTACACCCTACCATATGTAGGTTTTGAGACAACTTTTAGGGTGTCAATATACACGTATTTACAGACTTACAGTTGGGTATCTCGAATTCCGAGGTGAACTTACTATAATGACTGGACTATGTAGGTATCGGTTTCAATCAAAGTCTTGGTGCAGAATTTCCCATTAACCTCGGCTCTTCATAGGAGGTCGGGACCCCGACACTGTCATAAGCGGGCTTTAGATATTGTAAGGACTCAACGGTGTCTATTCAATTTTCTCGAGAGATAACTATAGCAATTATTATTATACAAATAAGGCATAATAAATATGACCCTTGTAGACCTAATTATTTATTTAATTAATGCCATAAATAAACTTCCCACTTCCTCCCTTCTACCTTCATAATTTGTTCCACGTGGACTTTATCAAAGAGTCATACAAAATTCTTGGAAAACGATTTATTGAAAACATTCCTTGAAAAATATATTATCCATAATTATACATTTATATCTTTATTCAACCTTTAAATAAATAAATAAATATTTTTTCTTTCTTTCTTTCTTTCTTTCTTTCAAATACACTCAACATCAAATAAACCGCACCTTCCGCGACGCGACAAATAACACCAACAATATTGGTGTTATTTGAAAGCCCAATAAATATCCTTTAAGAAAAACACATTTAATTTCTTAATAAATTATTAACATATACCATAAATGTGACTTGAAAATAGACCTCACTTTGGGCTCATCTCTGGGATCAATTAGACCAATGGTTATAAAACTAAATAATGATCACACGTATCCTCTTTAACAGATGGATAGCGATTAATCCCAACTTAACAGTTTTATAACCATAAAAGTTGGCACAAGCGTAACTACCAATTTTTGATGAAGTGACTCTGGATCCTTCTAAAGACACATTTTTGGAGTAAAAACCTTTCCTTTAATGAAATGAAGTTTAGAAGTAGGCTTTTAAACGGTGCCGATATTGGTAGGAAGTGGGGATGCATACGTTTGAAAGTGCTTGTCGCGAGAGGTGCAATTTATTTGATGGCGAGTGTAGATCAAACCTCAGTATTCCTGCACTTGTAGAAAACTTTTGATTTGAAATTCATGCCCCGAGAACGAAGCAAAAAAAAAGATTAACAAATGGAGGCTGTAGTTTGTTATGTAATCTAAGAAAGTCACAGTTATTTTATTTATCGTAAAATACTGGCATATTATTTGGTCATGAAAGCAGATTTTATTAAGATATTCGCCATGTAATCGGGCCTCTCAGACGATACCGTAAAAAAAAGAAAATAAAAATGTTTACGGCCTTCGGACTCGCAGTCAATTAGAAGGGAACTAACAAAAAACGCTTAAGAGCGTTTACGNGTTTATTTTTTGTAGATGCCGAGAGTTTGGGTAAGGAAGATTTCCAGGGAGGAAATTGACTTGGTAAAGCATAAGAGGAGGTAAAATCTGGAGATTCACTGCGGAAAGCGGCGGAAAAGTATGGTTTGAAAAAAAAATAAGATTTTCGTTAACTTTCTTCAGAATGTTAATATTATTTTATTATTAATGTTTATTAGATTTGGAAATATCATTTATTTTATCATATTTCTGTTATTTTTTTAAATGTTTACTACTTATCAAAGGCTAAATAATGTTTTAGAAATATTAAATACTTAGACTGATTAATGTCGTCATGTGCTACCATAATTTTAATATTCGTAGTATTAATGATAAATAAAACACGTTTTATTGGTAATTATTGTATTATTTGTATGTATTTCAACAGACCCCAATCGCTGTTTCAACCGCCCCTGGCATGGGGACGGTTGAAACAAAATTTCTATTTTTTTAAATTTCGTATATTTCTAAAAATAGTAACCCGGGAACTTGAATGATACAGCCATATCATAGCTAAAACTTCAAATTTCAATTTCACGTATCGTAATCGTCACTTGGTTATTAAACAACAAAATTATAGACAATAAAAGCAAAATTGTTTCAACCGTACCCAGTCTCCCCTACTGTTGCCATTAAAAGAAATTAGTACCATTAGTTTTCCGCAACATGGCGAGGGTTTTTATGTTCCTGGTCAGGCTATACCACGTNAAGTGACAAGTGAACTGAATACTTAAACATTTATTTATTTTTAGTCAGAAATTCTTGTTTTATTTGTAAGAAAAGAAGTATTGCTACTAAACATTAAACGTTATTTAATTTTACCCTCGAGTCTGTATAATTACTCACCTATAAATAGAACGTTATTTACAATGTCTAGATTTAGATAAACTTTTTTATGTACTTGTTTGTTTAATATAGTATTGTGTGCCAAAATGTTTATATCTCTATGCTTTGCTTGATTCAGAATGACGGCTGCGTGGCGACGTTATTACAAGTCCGGCGCACGCTGGGTGACGTGGCACGCGTGGCGGGTGGCGCCGCTTGCGAGGCGCGTGCGTCACTCGTGGCATACCGCGTGCTCGCGCCACGATTGGTTGCACGCGCGCTGCCGTGCCATGGGGACAAGCGGCCTGACGAGTGTAAGTGGAGTCCATCATGATCATCAGGTCATTTGAATCTCCGCTGGGTGACGTGGCACGCGTGGCGTGTGGCGCCGCTTACGAGGCGCGTGCTTCCCTCGTGGCATACCGCGTGCTAGCACCGCGGCTGGTTGCACGCGCGCTGCCGTGTCACGGGGAGAAGCGGCCTGAAGAGTGTAAGTAGAGTCCATCATCATCGTTTCTAAGCCACTCCAATGATTTCCAGACTGGCAGGTTTGCGGGAGCAGCCTGTGTCCAGCGCCTTCTTTATAAAGTCATCAGTCTGTATTCCGTTCATCGTGATCATCTTAGGTCAAATAGTCTCCACTTCACAATCCTTTTTAATTGAAACATTTTGGTTGCGCGCTACCGAAAGTGGAATTAACCCTTAAAACCTGAATACATTGTGTGTGCTCTCTTTAATACTAAAAAGACAAACATGTTCTGTATGACGCGGTGAAATTAGTTTAGTTCGCTCCATTGTAGCAGCTTGTTCAGAAAAAACCATATTAAACTTTAATCCGGAGGAGACTGTTTAATTTAAAATTTTATTTCTCCCAGGCGAAGGCTGCAGTCTGGATACTGGTGCCCGCAAGGGCAGGGGCACGGCAGTGCTGAGGCCAAGTCATACGCTCGCACTCGGCAGGTGCAGTTGTTATCGTCTTCGCATCAACAATATTACACCGCTGCCTACGACTGTCACATGGGAGCCTCCTCTAGGTTGGTAATGCCTTGTTTTGCTTAAGTACTTATATTCAAATTCAAGTTCTTTGTTCCGAACTAATATAATTGCATTTTACAGAAAAGGAAGAAACTATCAAAGTTACGTTCATACCTAATGATTTCGACGTTGGAAGCTACGGACAGATTGAAATTAGGGTAAGTTTATATTTTTACATAATCAAGGTCAATCGGCTCGTCAAGTTAGATACTGTGCCTTCTTATGTCTGATGATCACTTATACTTGATTGTCAAGTACATAAACTTATGAATTAATCTACACTATGCAGATATGCTTGGCTGAAACTTGGCTCCAGCAACTGTTTAATATTAGCCTCACGAGGGCTAACTTACATGCAGCGATTAAGAAACTCCATGTACAGCGCTAAGCGTTAAGCGCCTCTCACGGGGCCCGTAGTAACGACTACAGACCACGTCTCTCTTGATCATCACATATTGCTGAATATTAATTTGTTCTGTGCCTCAATACACAAAGGTATAATCCCTTATTCCGCATTGCTATTGGTAATAGCAACCCAACTGTACTCTAATGATAGTTGAGCAATAAAATTGGTAATACTCAGGTGTAATAGGCAAGAGATATTTTGTAGAACGGCTTAACTTATTGTCAAATAATTCACCATCTGTTTCCCAAAATAGGGAATATCTGATGCACAAGCGATTTAAAGCGCTGGATGCCGCGCAGTTTACTTACATCACAACACCATTTGGCTGATACCAAAAATCTGCCCTCGTTTAGCGGTGCAGCGATATGTAGGTCAACCGGTAATATCGATAGTATTAAAGCGAACATTTACATCGATAGCATAGGTAACGATAACTTAAATATTCAGAGGGTAAGGAGGGAGCATGAACAAACGTTCTCCAATGAGGGTTTTCGCGGTTGAAAAATCCGCCAGATGGCAATACGTAGACGCGAGGTCCAAATGCTGCATGATTGGTGGATTTTGACATATCTGTTAAAAATAACCAATCGTGCAGCATTTGGACCTCACGTCTACGTATTGCCATCTGACGGATTTTTCAATCGCGAAAACCCTCATTAAATGCAAATGTATTTCTTAATGTTTAGCTATTAATCATTAGCTATAAAAAAATTTTCATATAATTTCCTTGTTAGATACCGATTTTAATTCGGGATTTAGATTTTTTCTTACTTAATTATGTAACAAATTTAACTATGTTCTTGGTTAGCTACAAGTTCCTATTTTTTATCGATAAATTCTCCAGTACTTTTCAGTGTCGCGCACATGATCATGCTCCATTTTACTCTGGTTTCCAATATGTGTCGATATGCTTATCTTTATTTTATTTATTTTATTTGGTGCACAAAACAGGGATACAACCATAACATACAAAGCGTTTAAAGCAGGTTATACCTACAGTATAACTTGTTGCAGCTCCAATAACAAGTGCACACAACATATCGATATCGATACACACTTGCAGCCCTAGCCACGCTCGTTACCGATAAATAGCTTTATTCCTGCTATTGACGGAGTATTGCTACCTGTAATGGTGATATTACGGCGTTTGGGTTGTTTACGCGTGAATCCTAGCAAAATTATATTACCCTCAAAGTTTAGTATAAAGTATTAAATGTAAAGTTCAGCTTACATCAAAAGTTAAGTTCAAAGTTAAATACGCGTATGTTCCAGGGCCTAATTAAAACAGACTTCTTCGACTGTAAGTACGATTCAGCTTGTAAATGGAAAGGTCGAGTAAAATTAATAAAACATATTCTGAAACAACTTTTGTATAACATAATAATTATGAATATAATATATTATTATGAAGTCCTAAGATCCTAAGATCTGCTGGATTACTGACGAGTACAATTGTTAAGCAATCCCACTATCTGACTATATTAGTTGCTGAAGTCAGAGTATGAATAGAAAACCTAATATTTGAAGTGTAAATAATTTATTAGATATGTAGAAAACGTTTGTTAGAATTGCAACACACATACACTCGACATCAAATAAATCGCACCTACCGCGACAAGCATTTTCAAATTCAAATTCAAATTATTTATTTGCAATAAATAGGGTTTACAAAAAGGTGTTTCAAAGAGATAAATGTTGCTTTCACCTATTTAACTATGATAACACATCATGCAAATTTTCGTCTTAAAACGACTTTTTATAAATTACAATAAGTTTTCAATTAGATAATACAATATTATTAATTTAACGATCAAGCGTATGCATCCCCACTTCTCACCAATATTGGCACCATTTAAAAGCCTAGTTCTAACCTTCATTTCATTAAAGGAAAGGTTTTTACCCCAAAAATGTGTCTAGGGAAGGATCCAGAGTAACTTCTTCAAAAAATAGGTAGTTACGCTAAAGCCAACTTTTATGGCTATAAAACTGTTAAGTTGGGATTAATCGCTATCCATCTGTTAAAGAGGACACGTGTGATCATTATTTGGTTTTATAACCATAAAAATTGGTCTAATTGATCCCATAGGTGGGCCCAAAGTGAGGTATTTTTTCAAGTCACATTTATGGTATATGTTAATCATTTATTAAGAAATTAAATGTGTTGTTGGGGCACCATGATTGTGTCAGAAGAAAATCGTTAAAGTTCCCATCGCGGAAGGTGCGGTTTATTTGATGTTGAGTATAGTTGTAAAGCTGTATCAGTACCTATTTATTTGTATCGTTGAATCTGACATAATGTAATAGTTCTCGCCAACGAGTGACAAGCCTTCAGCTACAACCTGTATTTCCATGCTTCAACAATATCGCTCTTCATTTTTATTTTCAATATGAAAAAGCAAATTATTTGACGGTTCATCCGTTTTTAATTTGAAAAATTGTAGTTTCAACGTAAATTTTTAGCTGTAGCCTAGTTTGCTGCAGCATTGTACTCGTATTCATATTTAAAGCATCAAGATCGTTTTGAAAAAAGTTTGTGCTGGAAAGTTTCGCTGTAAAGGATTCACGTGGACTGCCTGGGGTCAGGGGTCGAGATATTATATTCCTACGGGCCGCGAATTGGCCGAAATTAATTACGTGGCCAAATTGACGGTGCACGTCCACAGAATGATAAGAACAGCCAATGTTTTTGTCACGTTAGTATTCAAATTACATTACTTCTATGCATATTTTATAGCAAATGCATGTACAGAAAGTAGACATAAACAAAAAGCCTGTTTTTAGTTTTCGACAAAAGCACGAAATCATCTTTAGTCCTGCAATCCTGCATAAATATGTAGTTCCACATCCATAGAGTCGCTTTACCAAACTGGGAACTACCATTAACTTCCTTCTTTTACATTTTGGTTCTCTTAGCCCCAAGTAATTTTACCACACGAGCCTGAATGTTATACCAATAAGGTGTATTTTAAATAAATGTTCCGTTCGCCCTAGAACTCATTTTTATTTTTCCACGTTGCCTCAATTAGCTTGCTTCATTATTTTGCACTGTGCTGGACCTGGCGACTCGCCATAATATCTCCATCTTCATTATCATCGCGTTTCCGGCCAAGAAAGTTTGAGAGCGACTTTTAAAATGGCCCTCAGAGGTGAGGCTGCGCCAGAAAGTACTAAGATGAGGATCGGGTGTTAACTACGCGTCGTCCGCTTTGTTTTAATGAAATGCTAACTTCATGTGGAAACTTTAACTTTCTTGCCCCTCGACGAATTTTAATTATGACTCGATGGGAAAATTATACCTCTATGGGCTCTTTCAAGTAAGACGTTTTGAGCCGGAGGTTGGTCGTAATGGTCATCCGTTGCAGGACCACATACGAAAAATTGTATGACAACTGCATTGGAACAAAAAATAAAATTTTGCAAGCTCACGACGAAGTCTAATGTGAAAAAGCCCAATGGCTCGAAGGTAAGTTTTTTTTACTAGCGAGCGGGGACAAACTTACAAATGGTTTTGATACAGCCTATTAAATTCAATGCGATCATTCTGACTAATACGCACAGCGTAAATCTAAATAATAACTCAAAGGCTGACTGACTGGCTGACTGACTGACTGACTGACTGACTGACTAACTGACTGACTGACATATTGATCTATCAACGCACAGCCTAAACCACTGGACAGAGCGGGCTGAAATTTAGCATGCAGGTAGATGTTATGACGTAGGCATACGCTAAGAAAGGATTTTACGAAATCTAACCCCTAAAGGGGTAAAACGCGATCCACGCGCACGAAGTCGCGGGCGACCGCTAGTAGCGACATAAAAAAGTGTTCACAAAGAAAAAGAAAAAAAATGATCACGTGTTCACAAAGAAAAAGAAATTAATGCGCACTCGCAACTCACTGAGAATATGAAATTGAAAACTGACGAACCTTTCATTCTACCATTAAGCATGTTTCTTGCAAATATGTTACTTTTGTGTTTCGGATTACTTTCCTCCTCGCGAGGCAATCAAACTTACACGTGCCACTTCTCAGCCCGCGACGTAAAGGAAACTTTGTTCTTTTATCGTCTAGTTTTGCCTCAAAACATGTTCCAAAACCTTCTTTTTTATACCCGTACGAAATCAGTTACACAACTTCTTTGGAGTAAAAACTAGTTTAACAAGTTTTAAAAACTAGGTACGTAAAGCTCTGGAAACTTTCTAGGCAATCAAAATTTCATTTAAACCAAGTTGAAAATGTAGTCAATTTACAGATTTTGAAACAGGTGAAAATTATATTAATTGGCGTAGCTTTAGATGCTTAGATGTGGTACAGTACATGGAAAAATAGTCAATAACCATTGTTCATTTATACATAAATTTAAATTACATTTTAAAGTGTAAAGACACAAAAAAGTCGACTAAAGACTTGGAATTTGTATTTGGAATAATCGAGGTGTGTTTACACATTTTTGTGATTTTGGTGTGACTGTTCCATCAATACGAAAAAAATTCTCATTCACTTTCTTTGTGTTTATTGTTTTACATAAACGTTTGATCTTTGAACAGTTAATAACGCTTCGTTGTTTCTTTTTGAAGACTTCAGTCAAAAGTTTTTGAAATAAACAGATTGAACATAAATAATTCTACATTTCAGGTGTCCCGAATTATTGGGCACAACTTTGAAATATCAGCACAAGTTATTTTTTGCCTAAAATGTTGTTATCCAAGTAATCCCCAAGTCTGTTAACTATCCACACAAAAGTTTTACTTGTGCGGATTTCTGTAAGATAAACATAATATTATTTTGCGCAAAGCTTCGTCAATATTTATTAGTATGTAGTACTTCTTATTTTTCTGTGATATTAGTTACATTGAAAAACATAAAAAGTGGAAAAGTATATTTATACCTACTTCCTGCGATAAAAACTTGATAACGGTTTCTAGGTAAAAGAAAAAAAATGTCTTGATATTCGTGGATAAGCCGGCTTTACGAAAGAGGATTTAATCGTGGAAACTGTAGCCTTGGGGTATGAAAAAATTAAATGTCAGTAAAGATCATCTCAAGGAGACTGTAGTTGATTGTAGCTGGATAAAAAACCGGGATATGTACCAAATTTAAGGCATTAAAGAATAAGTAGGTAAATAAATATCTTAAATTTCTTTATGGCGTTCCTTAGTTGTCCTTGGTTTAAGTCCAACAGTGGAATGCCATTGGTTGTTATTAAGAAACGTTATTTGATTGTTGTAGGTGGTGATAGAAGCTCACAGAGTGTGCGGGCGCAGGATCTTCGCGTACAGAGCACACGTGGACCGCGCGCACAAGCCTTTGTACCTGCTCATCGACACTGCAATAGCGGTAAGATAATTCTCCTACAAAAATAGCTAGATTGGACAGAAAAGGTATCACTTTGACCTAGCACTTATAAAATAAATAGGTTATTATTACTTAAAATGTCGTAACCAAATTGTTAGAAAATATTAATTTTCCCCTTTTGGTGTTTTATCTCTTTCGATTCCCCACTAAGTGACTTTCACGAGTTTGACTGAAAAAAAGAGTAGGACCTGATTTGCAATTCAATTCCAACTCACAGTTGTTTTATTACGGAATACTGATTTAAGGTTCGTTAAAATAAAGTTGGGAAACAAAGGAATTGTTTCTCTAACGTCCGATAGTATTTATTGTCTTATAGGTACTTTCAACTTTATTTATAGCCATAGACAATTTTATTTAATTTGTCAAGAACCTGTTGTTCTAATTTCTGGCAGCTTGTATTAAACAAACTGGAACAATTTGAATAATCTAAATTGGTACTAACCGTGCTCTTTGGCCGTCAAGTGCTTTTTTATCAGTCCGATAACAATATGGCCTACGTTGAAAGCCCAATTCAACCATTGTACTCGTAGGTACGGTTATGTATAGACGAGCCTTGTTTACTGCGTATAGAAGCATTCAGTCCGAACTATTATATTCCATAGAACTATTGAGTAAATGTTTATTAATCTATTCAGTATAATTATAAATCTTGGCTGAAACTATTAAAAGCGAAACTCTAATCTGTCTCCGCCGAAGCGTTTAAGCTGTAGATCCACTTTCATGATCCGAGCCAAGTACAGACTAGTTAATGTAATTACTATCTTTAGCAACTGCGTTGAGACTAGTTCTTTTTATTTATTTCACACTTGCATTTAAATCCTATAAGATAAAAACATAACCCTCCTTCTGGCGTAGTCGGGTAAAAGTACCAAAGGCTAGTTCAATGACCACACAATGTCATCTGCAACCAAAGTCTATTCATCATTAGCGACTGATTTGATAGTGATTTTTTTACCAATTTGCTGTTTTAATTTAGAGTTTAATATCGATATTATTATTATACAGTGTAAACTCTCTATAACGTCACTTGATTTAACGGAAAACTCTTTATAACGTCGAGATTTCTTAATTTTGTTGGTTTACCTTGTTTTCTATCCGCTCTACCATGTCACTCTATAAAACGACAACTCTATAACGACAAAAAATGATCAGTCCCTTGAGTGTCGTTATAAAGAGTTTACACTTTTGAATCTACTGACTTAGCCATACTATATTTACTTTCTAAATCTATTCAAGTACAAGTTTAAAATGTTCATCTTAGAGATAGATCTTAACAGCATTTGAAAGCATAACTCAGTTTATTTTCATAATATTTACAAGAATATAGGCCTTTTTCAGGGCTTTTATTAATAATAAATAAGTAAAATATTTATTGTATAACTTATTTGACAGTTTAAATTACTTGTGAATATAGGTCTAGACTACGCTTAGAAACTGAACACAGGTATTGTCACGGTAAAGTTGCGTAACTGTAACTTTTCAAAGTTACGAATGTCATTAACGAACAGTAATTAATTAACTCAAGACCCAGAACTTTTGTTCGTTTCAAATAGGAGGGAATCAAAAACAATGGCCTCTGAAAAACTGTAAATAAGCTTTGTGTTATAATTCCAAAGTATGAAAGATAAAAATAATAGGGTAGGTATATTTGCAAATGTTGAAACGAAACTCAGGAAAACTTCTTTAAAATCTATAAAAGTAGGTAGGTACGCAATTAATTAAAAGTTATGTAAATCGGAAGTCAACATAATATCAATAAGTAACTTTAAAGGAAACGGTAGATGAACTTAGCAAGAAATGTAGTAAATTCTTTAAAACAAATATAGTGATTGTAATATCGAGTGTAGGTATAGTCTTTAACTTCCTATTTACAGTTATAGTGAACTATTTAACATGTTCTTATAAGAAACAATCTTTAAACCTAACGGAGAAGTACTGTAGGTATTATTTCGCAAAACCTAAGAAATCACATTGACAGTATAGTCATCATTTGTCTTACTTCATTGTTGAAGGTGCGATATCTCGACACGTTCGTTTTAGCCCGCAAGTGTTCTCGGTTTTATCGACACTCTCCATCTTCTTCATTCGCTTTTGATTTTCTCATGAGCAAGAGTGACAGATAGAGACGAAAATGTAAACGAAAAAAGTTAGAATTGCGAAATAAGTCTCCAGCCCGCATTCGTATCCACATGTCACCGGCTGATGAATTGGACCTATCCGTTACACTACGCCATCGATCAGCGGTTTTGTGTTTCGTTTTAGGAATAAATAACTGGTGATTTTTACTACTTTTTATGTGGAAAGTCAGTACAGTTTCATGAAACTTTCATAATAAATAGCAACCTGAAAAAGTGTTTAGGCAATAAAACGACGACGATTCTAACAACTATTCTAGCCAATCATTTCCTACAAAATTTGTGTAAAATATATAGTTTTTTCCAATAAATAGGAAAGACAAATTGCTGGACATGGATGTCGTGATATTTCCAGACGTGTGATTACGAAACCCAAAAAATCTCCCGACCTCCAGTGCATTTATTTTCCTACGTACCCTTTTGTCAAGGACAATGCGCGTCGGTCGGCGAAGCCTACATTATGAAAGCCTTTGTGCCTTGATTTGTTACAAGCAGAGAGGTATGAAAAGTATTGTTCGTCTGCGGCCTGTGATTAAAGAATATGGGAGTTGAGTGGGCGGATGAGAATAAAAGTCTGCTACCAAAACTAGTACAACAAACTACTAACTATCCTTTATGTTAGGTTTTGGGGAACACAAAATAATTAACAGAAATGTATTTTCAGCTATTTTCAGCGTATCCTATTGTGAATTGTTTCAGGGTCTTGAAATATCGTGCGAGATCCCCATTGGCGGAGAAGAACAAACATCAAGTTCGGTCATCATGAGAAGAACACAGGTTAGTAATAATTTAATAAAAATAGCTCATAAAGGCTCTCTATGCCCTTTTCGAAATTACACGTGAAAATTGGATATGCTTATCTTATTAAAATAATTATTTTTTATCATATTAATATTATAAAGTTTAAATATTATAAAGTGTAAAATTACAAACCTATCCTCATTATGTCAAAATTTTAGACTCTTTTGTTCTTGAAACATTTGCGCAATGTCACCCCAAAGCCGAGTCGCATCTTAGAAGATATTCGGTAGATGATATTATTATTTTCGGTAGGATAGTTGCAACAAGTCGGAGACACGAACAGTGCTCTTACTGCTAAACTGGGAGGACAATGACGAGGGTATCACTCGGCAGGGCACACCTCTTACCCGCGTCAGGGCGCTTGACGTGACATAAAGGCTTTGCTGACACGTTTAAGTGAAGATTTTTGAGTCAAGACATAAGATTTTACTATAAAGCTATTTTATCTTGGTCGCATCGCAAGTTTTAACACCTTTATTTGAGTATTTGTTTATACTATAGTATCGAAACTGTACCAATGAATACAAGACCAATAAACGATGTAGACAGTAGGTTTTATTTCAATGTTTGACAACAATGTTGGCAGTATGCAACTGCATACTAGCAGAGCACACAGATTTTCACAAAATGAGACACGGCCACGCGTTTATCTGCAGTTCTCGAATGTTGTTAGTTAAGTGCACGCCTTTGCCATAAATAGGTATACCAACATTTTCGACAGCCATTATCTTTGGTATTGTATGGAAATGGCTATAAAATGTAATATATTCATTCACACCAGTAAAAGTGTTCAAACTACGCACGTGCGTCACGTATGTGCATGTACATTTTAAAACAATCACTCACGCAACGTCGCGCGAGAAACACGTAGCTACGGGCGTATTGTTGAACAGTCCTTTATCTGCTAAAACGCTATTTTTCTGACTAGATTGTCAAAGGTTTACGTACACTACAAGCTTATGGAAAGTCACTAGCTTGATCAGAAATATGCGATTACTAGCGCCCATGTTGATGTACCGATGTAAAGGCATAACGGGGATAAAGGCCTATCGCCTTTAAGCCTGGACCCAGTGAGTATCAATCCAGTAGAGTACCGTACACAGTATGTCAGTCGAACCAACTCATTCTGAGTGATTCTGTGAGCTTTGAATGCCATTGCTCTGTAAGAACATTTTCCGTATCTTCGAATATTTTGTCACTCGTATTCATGTTGACATCTCGCAACGAGTGAGAGAGGTGTATGGATCTGAAACTTTAAATAGATAGAAAGTAGCATCGCTTACTGCAGTTTATAGTGGTATTCGTTCGTTTCAGCCGAAAGACGTCCACTGCTGGACAAAGGCCTCCCCCAAGGATTTCCACAAAGACCGGTCCTGCGCCGCTTGCATCCAGGTACTTCCCGCGACCTTCACCAGATCGTCGGTCCACCTAGTGGGAGGCCTGCCCACGCTACGTCTTCCAGCTCGTGGTCGCCACTCAAGAACTTTCCTGCCCCAGCGGCCGTCAGCTCTTCGAGCTATGTGCCCCGCCCACTGCCACTTGATTTTAGCGATTCTGCGGGCTATGTCAGTCACTCTGGTTCTCCTACGGATCTCCTCATTTCTGATTCGATCACGCAGGGAAACTCCGAGCATAGCACGCTCCATCGCTCTTTGGGTGACCTTGAGCCTTCTTATGAGGCCCATAGTAAGCGACCACGTCTCAGAGCCATACACCATCACTGGCAACACACACTGGTCAAACACTTTTGACTTATAGTTATATAGTGGTATGCTTATCGTGATTTCACACAACTAGCTATGTTTTCTATTTTAACTAAAATAGTAAGACACGGGTCTTATCGCGACCTTTATTAATGACTTACATTATGTACTCACGCCTTGACGTTACTATTTTAGTAATAATACGCCTGTTATTTTTGCGTCGAGTTACATTTTGTTTTATTTACCAAGTGTAGTCGGCTCCTAACTTTTCGTCTCGCGAATAATAATATGGTAGCAGATAAATTCAACCATTGATTCGCCTCTCCTCATGAATTAAACACGAACTATTATATTACGCTACTTTTTATTTATAGAAAGCATAGTGGTAACAAAAAAGGGATAAATCAGTGGTGTCGTTTGGTTTTTTCAGTAATCCAAATTATCTTTCTTCTAAGGAGATACCTATTATGGTAGCCCTTCAAGTACCAGCGAATCTGGACAATAGAAATTAATTGTTACCGCGGTCTCATGTGACTACTTAGGGTTCCTCGAGTGAGTTATCACAGAAAAACGTCTTAAAACTTCAAGCCGCGCTTGCATATTAATCACGCCTTGTGAATTTGAGCCATTTACTTAAAATAATTGAAGTCTTAAGAGATTTAGTCGTACTAATCTCCTTATCCCGATAATGCATCATTTGGAATAGAATAGATTAGAATTAATTTATTCAGCATTTAACATTTCTAACCCTCTTATTGGTTGAACTATCACAGATTAAATCAGTGAACCTTCTGCTTCAAGTCTCTTTCGTGTTCTCATATTCATAGTGATTCCGTCGCAAATTGTAATGTATGTATTTGTTCCAACTATGTCTAGCTTTGAAGTCAAAATATACCAAGTCGTCGTTAGATGATAATGTTCCCAAAAAGTGTAACAAAACAATCCTTTTTTATGCCAAGTAGAACTTATTTTCTTTGCCTCTACATAATCCATTCATGAGGAAAATGAGTATTCGAAGTAAATAAGTGCCTATCAATATTTTCTTAAGCCCGTAACCTGACATACTTTCTCCAGACTCAAACGAGCTCTTTGAGCCACAATAAAGATTTACTATTTATTTAAAGAAATATCTGTCTTGACCTTACGTAAAATCTTTCTTCTACTATTAAGAGCGTTTANTCTTAAAACTCGCAAAGCAATTTGTGAATCGCTCTCAGATACAAACTAAACTGGCCATATCCGTTCACCGCGGGGTAATTACGAAACGCGTTGCTCTTAGAGACCCACAAGGGATACAAAAGCAATATGTAACTTTACCATTTGGAGATCCCTCGTTTCTGCGGAAGTGCTATTGACTTCCTCATTAGGCAAACAATTGGATAAACAGTATACACCTTTTCTCTGAAACGAAACTAAAACAGAAATAGCATAAAAGTACACTCAAGAATCCATGCCTTTAATTAAACTAAATACCAGTCAATCAGAGGATTGAATTTATGCTTGATTAGAATACCACTTGAATAGAGTTCGTGTGTATGATACATTATTTTGAGTATTTCTTTGAGTATGTGCTTCAAAATATATAATCACTACGCAATATCTAAATATATAAAAGGAGAAACTGACTGACTGACTGACAGATCAACGCACAGCCTAAATGGTTAAACGTAGGCACTTGAAATTTGGAAGGGACGTAGCTTAGGTACCGTAGAGGTGCACTAAGAAAGGAATTTCCGGAATTCCCACGGGAACGGGAATTAGCGGGAAAAACGGGATTCACGCGTACGAAGTCGCGGGCGGCCGCTAGTTCGATATAAATAGATGTTTCTATTCAGTTTTTAATAAATAAGATAACGTACGGATTCCTTGAAGGATGAAATCGATTTGAGCTTTGCCTGTTTTTTTGGTCGTTCTCGTGGTTCTGAAAACTGTCTCGCTTTGTACGCTTCGTCTTTACAAAACTTCGTGCAGTTTTGTCGCCGCCTCTAACTTTTTACTCCAACTTTTGTTTTGTTTTATGGCAAGTCTCGTGGAAACGAATGGCTTGTCGGATTAATGGATGTTCAAAATATTGAATGCTAGTCAAGCTTCAGAATAAGTTTAGTAAAATCACATCTCAAAACTATTAATTTTCTTTGTCGATAGCGTCGAAGAGATTATAATAGCTGTTATAAATTAGAATCGGCTCTGCGGCCAGAATTTCTAATTTCAATTTCGAATCTATTGTTCTCCCTTCTCACAAACCGATTGAAAGTACAAGCACAAACTCCTGCATCAATTAATCAAAATTTAAGCAAAACGATGTGGATTTGTCCATTTCTCACTATTTTATTATCCAAGAGATGTTGTGCTATAATAAAAGCTAAGAGCAAACATTAGACTCTCAACAATAATATCAAATTTCCGCCAAAACTAGTTGCTTATTAGAGAAATGTATGTTATGTTAGTTTCCGAATTGTACGTATTTCGCACCGCAAACTCATCAGCACATTTGGAGCTGGGTCTGTTGAAGCAAGTTCTCTAATGGCCACGAGCATGCGAGCTCCAGACTGTATCCATAACAGCGTCTCGCGGGAGCCGTTGCCCGGAACGACGCAGCCCAATTAGCAGGGCAGAATCCACCCGCGGTCAAACTTACTACAACGCTAAGTGAGGCACAACCTACATAGAATTGAATGTAGTGGCCTACTATGAAGTTCGCAAATTAAAAGTTTAATCCTGCTGCTCAGACACGGTATTGTCACAATTTTCATAAGAGATGTAACTAACGCCCGTATTCACAAACGACGCTTGCTTAAGTGAAGCAGCAAATCGAACGCACATAGTTGAATAGAGCTCCGGGATTGATTCGTGTGTCACCCTGTACGTCCACGCTCACTGTGAGACCTGGGAAATTCAGTTTTCGTCCAATTCACAATTAAATCATAATAATCTTTGCAGCCTCATGACCACCGTACTATTGCAGTACATCTCATTTGAATATGCTTTTAGTCTTATCTGTTAACTTTAGTTATTTAAGTAAAAGTGAAAATTACAGGCAACAGGTGAAAGCCCAACAATTAGTCGAAAACCTGTCGGCTGGTCCTGTCTGGCATTTTAGATAAGAGGATTTTGTGTCTTAATCCTTTTAGGCGTATAAAGTGACCAATTTAGCCTTTAATTGATGCTTCGTTATAAAAGATAATTTGAATTCGTGGTTGCAACTTTACCTTGTCATCATATTGACCTCGAATTTCAATCTGGTCGTGATGTGACCCACAGTTAAATTGTCTT